TTGAAAGGACAAAATGTCAACTATACTGATATAGATATAAACATAAGAAACCAAAAAATTGAAACAGCTGTCTCATTCACATACTTAGGTTGTATCATCACGAATGATCAACGTCAAGATATAGAGCTCTCAGCACGGCTCACAAAAGCTTCTAAAGCTTTCAACATGTTACGCCATGCAATATGGCATAGAAAGTCAGTTTCAATCACTGCAAGACTTCGAATCTTCAGAGCATGTATACTATCAGTGTTACTGTACGGTAGCGAAACTTGGGCTCTCACGATGAAACAAGAACAGAGGATTGCCAGTTTCTATAACAGATGCTTACGCACGATTATCGGTGTAAACCTTGGTGATCGAATGTCCAATGAAACTCTGTTGGACATTACAGGACAGCCAACGATCGAAAATATCATATGTAGGAATAGATTGAGGTGGTTTGGACACGTGAATAGGGCTGTCAACCAAGATGGATGCCCATCACTGACAAAGAAAACCATGTTTGGATATTTTCATGGTGAGAAACGGCCCAGTAATATGGGAAGAAGTAAACGATGGGAGGACAGTGTTTTAAAAGATACCGAAGAGTTAAACATTGGAAATTGGAGAAAAATGACTCTAGACAGAAGTCGTTGGCGCGAAACAATTAATAGAAACGTGCATGTAAAATCAGTAAACAAAAATGTTAAAAGCATTGTTCATGACTATAAACAGCGTGCAGCTCAAAGAAGAAAAGTTGAGCGAGCTACATCAACAGGCGTAATCAAACGAAAAGTTACAGAAATACTGGTTAAGGAAAACAATCAATACAAGTGCCCAGGATGCAGGAAGAACTTCAAGCCGCAAGGTTTCACAAACCATATAAAATCGTGTGAAAAAGCGAAGACATGGCGCAAGAACAACGCCCAGGAGATTCAATCCGACCAGTGGATCCGATCGCTTCCGGCATCGGATCCTATGGGTTCCGTTGCTTTTCGGTCGGCTCCGTTGAATTCCGACGATTTCCTAACTAACGGATCCCCGGTCCGGTTTCCGCCGGAAAAATTCCGTTAAGTTCCGAAAAATTTCGACCCGGAATTCGTCGAAAATCGACGGAATCGATCGGAAATGGTCCGACGAAATCTGGGCCGGAATTCGTTAGTTAGGAAATCGTCGGAATTCAGCGAAACCGATCGGTTCCGACCGATTCCGATGTACCCTGATTCTCCTGGGACAATATCAATTAACAATATGGCAAAGTTGGTTGTATGGCACCCATTCGTGTCGAACTTTGAATGGTATGATGGATATTATCTAAACTGATGACATCAGAGGGTAATAGACTGATGGATGTCTCAGCTCAATGCTAATGGCGATCTACGTGGCTCTCATCGTACAAAAACAAAAGACTATTTTTTTCCCTTCCCTTGTCTCCCTTTTTTTTAACCTGTTTGTTAATATAATTATGTGTTTGTTCATTGTATTATGTTTCTCACCCTACACCGGAGACGGTAAGGGTCTATAAATAAATAAATAAATAAATAAATAGTTCTTAAACCTATATATGAAAAGAGGATCGAGATCTAGTGAGATTTTCAGGTTGTTAAATGAGCCATCTTTTGTTCTCATACAGAGATTATGTCTCTTAACCATAATTTTAAATCTCTTCATTAAGGATCCATCATATTCTGAAAGTTTCATACTATATAGCTGAATGTACCTAGTGTGAAGTCACATCTCGCCATAACAAATAGCTATAAAAAAAAGTCTCATACGATTTAGATACAATAAACTTCAATCGATTGGTTTCCTTAGAGTCGATTGAAACTATAGAATAATCACGTAATAAAACTATTGTAAACATTTTAACAGCTACGATTTTTCTTAGGATTTGCTGATACATTTAAAGTCATTTTAGCAATTAACTAATTTGTTTTTTTTTCGCATTCTTCTCTCTTCAACATCATCATAAAGTTTCATAGAAAAAAAAGAAGTTCAAGAGATTTTGTAAAACAAAAACAAAAGGAAACAAAACCCAGAGGCACGAATTGAAAAACAAAGAAGTGAACAAACAACAACATCAACAAATAAAAAGAAAACAGAAGTTTCATATACGAAAACAGAAACTCTTCGATACCACAGACAATACTTTTGTCTTACAAATATGCACATGCAATTTAGACATGTATCTTGGTTTTGTATTGTTAACTCTTTGTAATGAAGAAGAAGAAAGAAGAAAAAAATTTATCATTTGACAATGGCAAAAAAATAAATAAATAAGAAATAGATGCACAACAAATAGATACGAATACAGTAAAAAAAATGATGTCAGGCAGTTGTTATTATATCAACGGTATTATTTTCATTATGAGGATAGAAAAAAGTTTGCCCTGTCGTTGATGAAGAATGATGATGATGGTGATGATGATAAATAAAATAACCATCGTTGTTATTGTTGTTGTTGTTATTATTATTATTGTTATTATTATTATTATCAACAAGGAGTTTCGTTATAGTAGGGGAAGATGTTAATGAACAATCATTTGATGAAGAAGAAGATGAACGAGAACATGATGAAAAGGAAGACGATAATGTATTGTCACTTAAATCAAGGTAATCACCACCACCATGTAATGATACATCAACATCATCATCATCTGATATCGATAGAACAGGTACTGCAAAATTTGATTGAGCAAGCCAATATGCATCAGTTGATGACGGATGATACATTGAAGGAGTTGATCTCAAGTCATTGACTGGCAATAATACTTTATCCGAATCATAATTTGATGAATGTGAATGTGAATGAGAATACTGTTGGTTTGTTGCTTCAATTTCATCATTTACTAATGCTGATGATAATGACGACGACGACGACGACGACGACGACGACGACATATAAAGACTATCTGACGATGATGAACGATTAGTTGTTCGATTATGTTGATAATACTGTACATGTTCTTGTTCATGTTCTTGTTCTTGTCTTAGTGGAGGAGTTTTTGTAAAAGTTTTTTCTAACCGTTTTATTAAATTACATATAAGTAAACTAACTTGTAATTTAGGTTTTTTAACACCACGCAACTTTCGATATGATTCAACAAGAACAGTACGTTTTTGTTCATCATCGTGCATTGATGAATATGTGCAACGACGTTTCACAATTGGTGTACCATAGGATGTATGAATTGTATCACTATGACGTCGTTGTATTATTGTACAAGGTATTGTTGAAGGATTTACATGATGTGATTCATCATCACTTGTTATTTCATCTTCACCAGAATTTTCATCATTATCATCGTCATCGTCGTCGTCATTATCATCACCATCGTTGTCATCGTCATCAGATTCGTCACTACTATTACAATCGAACGATGTTGATATGTAATTTAATGTTTGTATTGATGAACTGTTATCTTCATAGTCTGGAATTGAAAAAGAAATTATTATATCGAAGCTAGGTTTTTCTATATTGGATAATATTTCGAATATATGGAATATATGGTCAAGTGAGATCACTTAAGAGAAAGAATAATATGCAAATATATTGGTCTAAAAAAGCAACTCGAAAAAGCAACTGAATCCGAACAAATTTTGAAGAATTAATGGATTTGACGAGTAATATGATTTTTCAGTCATCTATACACAATACAATGCAAGAAATATGGATATCAATAAAAGAATTTTTCTTAGTATGAAAAGATAGAATATTCACATATTGATTTATTATTGAAGATATAGGATACTTTTCATTTTATTTTAAATACAATGAAAACTAAGAAATCCCTCAATCCAATGTAATACTAAGAAATTTTGTAGATATTCAATCAAACATTTTCGAGCTAAATCGTATGACATCAGACTATATGAAATTACGGAAGAAATGATATCGATAGTTAACTCTTCAATTTATATTTTATTAATCGGCCTATATGTTTTAGTGATTGTTGATCAGATATTTCAATTAACAACAATAGTACTATTGGAAATCTTTCTTAGATTCTCTATTTTGTAGAAAATAGATTTTTATCATCTTTATCTGACAGCTATTACTTTTAATAAAGTAGTCAAATGTTCTTCTAATATTAGTCGTTTTTAAATTAATACAAACCTGATAGTTTTCTTTTGACACTCATATATGATCGATGTTCATCAGTGTCATCATACACAGGAAAACACTGTGTATTCATTCTTGTTGATTGAGCTTGAGGAAGTATTGCTGTTGATGGAACCGATGTTTTGTAGACTGAAAGATTGTCACACATCATCAATTGATCTAAAGCATTTAAACATCGTCAAGTACATACTTAATAGTTAATGTACCTTGAAATCAATATTTCTGTCTTTCTCTTTCTCTCTCTCACATACGCACACATATACTATCATCCTTCGAATAAAACACGTGTAACGCACTCATCTTTCTGTCTAACGATAATTTTTTGACAATCAGCTGTATTTTTACGATCTCTTGTTCTCTTGTCTTGTTCTTCGTTTGTACTGTACAGAGGTTTTATTAAGAGAAAGAAATCTGTATATATAGAAACAGATATAGATGTAAGATAAGACCAAATAAATCAGTCGAGTGAATGAATAATGTGTATTGTTTTGTGGTTTTAATCGACTTCGCTAATTTTTGAATGATAGCCAAAAACTATGTAGAAGACGCTCAATGAGAGTATACATGTCAAAAGCGGTACGTTTAATTAAACAAATCGAGATATTTTGTTTCAATTATAAAAAAAACAATAAAATATTTCACTTACATAATTTCGATTGATTTATATATGCAATTTTATTATTATCACTTTTCCTTTATTCAATACATATTTAAGAAAAGAAAAATGTGTTTGGCACTGAATAAGACAATATCAATTAGATAAAAGTACAAAAATAATTCAAGTAATTTATCTAAATAGACAAAACAGAGACAGTTTGTAATTAGTTTTTAATTATATGAAAAGAATTGATCTTAAAATTTTTTCTCCGAAATTCTGTCTTATTATAATATGAAATAAATATAAATTTATAGATCTACGAATTCGTATCCATGTGAATAGTAAGGTAATAGGGACATTGTCAAACACGCGCGCAATTTCTCGAACTCTTTTCCCGCTGACAACACAGAAGGACAGAAGAAATACAGAAACAGAGAAAAGCTCGAGTGAACATGAGATGGAAAACGCGCCCAGATAGAGTGTAACAATTCTCCTATTTTTTCTTTCCTTCTTTCTATTCGGTTTTTCATGTAAAAGAGCCAAAACGTTTATTAAAAAAAAAAGAAAGATGGAGTTGGTGGTGATGGCAGTAGGCGTACCTCGTTCTCGTCAACAATAACACAATAGTAAGCAACACTGACGAGAAAACTCTTCCATCGTTTTTTTTCTTACTCGCGCGATGGCGTTAGTATAGGTACAGTCTTCTTCATCGTTTTCTCCCCTTTCCCTTTTTTTCTCGTTCTTTTCTCGACGAAGCTTCAAACATATAAATATATATATATATATATATTACCATCTTTTTTTTCTGCTCTGTCGTTGTCGGTCGCTCGGTTTGTCGATGACGACCATTTTCACTGAAGCTTATATTGCTTTTTTTCTTCGTCGTGTTCTCGTTCTTTCTTGCTACTTAGTTAAGGCTTTCTTTCTCGTTCGTTTGTGTGTGCACGTAAGCACATAGACAACATACACACACACACTCACCAACCAACTAATAGCTGTGATGTGTGTATGCCAAGCAATGTGCTTCTTCATTTTTTTTCTCATTCTGTTCGAAGGCGAAATCTGAATGCGTTTGTCTGACTTTTTCTCTCTTCTATACTTGTATCGACTGCGCACACGCTCGTCGTCGATTCATTATTCACATATTTGTGTGTTCGTACGAAGAGAACACTATGATGAAGGAGAACACACCATCGATACGAAGATGAAGAATTTTTGTTGCTGTTGCTTAGGCAGGCAAAGGAAGAGAAAAGGAGATGTTGATATGTGTACATTGAGGAAAGAGAGACAGAGACAATAGCAGTGTACAACCTAATAAATACAGATGATTCGGATTAATGAGCTTTTCTGTAGTGCCAGAAATTGAAAAGAATTTTGCAAATATTTTAATTAAATATATTTTTAATGTAATATAATGTGTTATGAATTGCAAACTTGGCATATATCATTCATGCATATGATTTCGTGAGAGAATACTTTATATTAATAATGAATTTTCATGATTTGAAAAGTTAACAAATATTTGTTTATAGTGTGCCACAAGAGAATATATAAATTTTCAAATGTTCGATTATATTGATGTGACAGTTCAGCATGAGTATATTATTTGTTGTTTACTATATAAGACGATTCACTGTATTTCATTTTTTTTTCTATCTTTTGGCGCCACGCCCAGTTTGCATTCTTTTCTCATTTTCTATTCGTCGATTTCTTCTTGTCTTGTTCATAAGCAGTCTGATGCCCGCGAACTTTGGTCGACCGAACAAATGCACCCATACAGGAAGAACAAGACTATAGAAAGGGAAAAGAACAGCAGAGAAAAAAAAAATATGGCTGTCGGCATACTACAACCAATGCCAAGAAGAGAGAAAATACCAATAATTGAATGCAAGGATTGCGATAATGAGAATACTGATGCATAATTTAAGTGATGTAAATAAGGATGAAATGAACAGAAACATGAACAGAAGAAAACAGCAATTAAAACAATTTTGTTAATATCTCATCACAAACTATTGAAAAATAATCATATGAATACTAAACAGTCACTGAAAATCTGATTGTAAAATATTGTTCTATAAAAGAACATCAATGTTTTGCAATCATTTCTAAAAGTAATTGATCTGTTATTGGGAATCATTCGAAAGCATTTTAATACGAAGACGTTTTGTAAAATGAGGGGGAGTTTATTTCTAGAGATTCAATCAATACTTATCAAAGTCTTTTATCATCAACTTAATGAATAAATATAATTAATATTATTATTAAAACAGAATGAAAGTCAACTATGAAATTGTAGTTTCAATAATGAAAATATTTAGAAGAAGAAGAGATTGAATTATTATTATAGATTCTTTATTCATGGAATAATCGAAGTGAAAAATTATTCTCATGAAGTTCGTGTTTAGAATTATCAAAAATCAATAATTGAGCTATTGCATTTTGAGAATATGTTGTTGTAACTGAAATTTCAATTTTATGCCTTTTTCTGGATGCTTTAGAAAGACCATTTCATGAAAACGGATTTTCTAAAAAAAACGTTTAATACATATGAAGAATGAATTAGTAATAATCGAAAACTTTGGGCTGCACTTTGCAAATATTAGATCATCAATATGATTTAGATTGATAGAAATAACTGTGTTCTATATTTATTGACATATTTAAGAGATTCAATGTACTCTGATTACGATTTCGCTAGCCAGTTTTGTTGAGCTAATAGAACAAGTATCATAGTACAGATTTGCACCGAATCGTGGTTATCATATATTTTATTTTGTAAAGCATAATGGATCAGGTCGATTAGCAGCAGCAGTGCTAGTTTAAACTAATCACAGCCTTGGAAATCAAAACATCGTTTGGAATACAGTCGCGGTGGCTGTTTTTGATTATATCCATACAAGACTCTGCCACAGCGAGCATTTCTGATTGCTATCTCGATTAGTATAATCCTAGATTAAAACTACAAAAATTCTCACAAAAATACAGCCCAAATGTTCAAAAATGATTATTGCTCTCTATAAATCAATGTTTGCCAAAATGTATTTTGATCTGTTTTCTCTATGGAGAGTAATTATGTTGTGGCAATAAAATAGAAAATTAGGGTACTCTGCTATAGTCTCTTGAGTAACTTAGTCTTTTTACGTACTCATATAAACTCCCTTTCAGCACATATACTGATGATGTGCGTAATTTACGCAGTGCAGTAAGTAGTAAAGCTAAAAAGAATTTTTAAAGTACACGCAATGGATATCCTGAACTCAGTATACGTCTACATCATCTGGAATGGGCAAAAAATGTCAGCCAGTCCTATATTTTTTGTTTGTTAACAGCTGAACATTACGTCAGTGATAACATGATAGATTAGCTGTCTAATTCGATTTTGAATATAAATGAAAGTTTCAAAAATTTGGTCGCCACCTGCTTATCGAAAATAAAAACTTTAATTTTTTCTGAATGATTATTATAAATTACAAGTCAATAGCCTTGTCGCGACGGTCAAATACTGAAGTTTTATCTAAAAGATAATAACCATTCATGTTGGGATGTGTTACCCCTGACCCTGATTGCCTTTTCGATACGCAAGCTTGAATGATACCTCAGTTCATTCATCACCCCACACCCCTTGGCATGGATCCTATAGTGAGGCACAGTGGATATCACTCGCAGACATTTGCACTGAGCTAAGACATTTTAGTTCGAATTCGATTGTATTTCTATAAGTAATATATTGTTTTTGTGTACTCAAAAAAAAAGAGTACATTATAAAATCGGTCAGTGTCCGTCCGTCCGTTCGTCCGTCAGTTTATTCGATAACTCTTCGCAATTACTTTCGATTGAGCTGAAATTTTGTGCACAGAATTGTCTCATCAATATCTCGGTCGAGTTCGAAGATGAGAAGGATCCGTCAAGAAATAGCTGAGTTATCGAAAAAATTCTCATTTTTGACCAGACCATCCCTGAGGAGGAATACAGGGATTTTTTCAAACAAAATATTTTTTTTCAGAATTATCTACAACATATATAAAGCGACTCAGTTTTGAACGCTGATTCCGAATCTGATATTAGTTTTGAACTAAATCGTAGTTTTCTAACGAAACATTGCCTGAAAAAGTCTCAAAATGCACAAAATTGCATCCAGAAATTAAATTACCTAGTTTCTCATGATAATTTTGGTGTTCAAACATTCTAGAATGACTCATATGTCCCATGCACTTTTTGCAGTACACATAACTCTCGGATGAAATCCGAAGTTCCCACATTTATTTTTATTTCGTGGCGCTACAGGAAAATGACGTTTACAATCTTAGACTCGGGCGCGAATTAGATTACTCATGGTAGACGGCTTGCACATTTGGGCACAGTTATACCGTACCATTTACGATGCTCAATTATCAATGTATCCAAAACGTAATTAACAAGACCTAAATAAATAATCGAATATCTTATGGTCTAGCAATTCGATTCAGATAGTACAAAACTTGTTTTTATCACTTATTGCATTGCAACGTGCTAAAATGTTTAAACGAATACTTAACGATAAATGACTAGATTGTGATGGATCTATTTCTTTTGACTTGAAATTCTTTTAATCTTACGAGATCTACATATAATCAAATAAACGGTTTCCTACTGATGTGAGCAATGTAGTGAGCTAAGCTGTTTCTCGTGGTACACAGTTAAGTTGCTTTCAACCAAAATATCTCAAGGTCTCGCAACTATTGATTGCAAGTCATGATTATTGCACATCATTTGGAAGTAACGTTTGTCCTGAGCAACGTGTATTTTGAACTATGAATTTACCTACAGGTAAAACGAAAACAACTGTTTTTTTATATTGGAAAATCGTAGACTTTGAAGAAAGCTCTCAATATTCTCGACATTTTTTAATGGAAAGTTTATATTCAACGTTCTAGTACACGTTTCTAGAGAATTGAACGAATACTCTGTTGAAACTTTCCAGTTCAATGATTTCAGATGCCAGATCGCGTAAATTTCTGATAGGAATCCGCAGTAAAGACACCATCGCTCACTTAAAAATGCTAGACATTCCACGCCGAAATTCTATCCTCAAATCCTTTTAGTGAATTCTTGCTTTCAAAGTTCCAACTATTTTCCGCACATTTCTCTTGTCGTCCCTCCTAGATCAAAGTACTTACAAATTTGTAAAATAAGAGCTGGCAAAGAACAACCAAGTGTACCATTTATTCATGAGTCACTAGTTAAAAGATATTTTAATAATATACTTATATCTATGGATACGAATAGTGAAAGTTTATATTCGCTTTCCAGGGCAAACAATCACATGCTAAGATCTGATAAGATTCTGCAACTGATCTTATATGATCATGTGAGATCCGACAAACAATCGTACGAATTTCGTGGTCTCTGAAATCTTGCATCAAGTCGTAACATGAGATTCTTGAACGATCTTACTATATCGTAAGATATATAACTCTAAGATTAGAAAATTTTACGAAATAATAAGATCTTTCAAGCGTCTTATTATAAGACTTAATGTAAGATTTCAGAGACGACAACTTTTTGCACGATCCTATCTGGTTTTGCAAGATCTTACATCTGATTTTTCGACCTTGGGTTTAGTTGAATATTTGTCGAGATAGAATAAAATAAAATAAAATGAAAACATAAGATCCTTGTGTACTTGATTTATTAAGTTTAAACTGAAAATAATCATTAGGAACTCATATATTATTGTACTTGTAATTGAACTCTATTTCATTTCAACGAAGTCAAATCGAATTCTGATATTTCATGTAGCGTGACTTAAAAAAATCTGTAAGACACTATTCTATATACATAATCCTAACAGAGATAGATGTCTCTGCCTATTATTTTTATACTAATACGATTAGTGTAACTCATTAGCTACTATTATTTATGTAGCACAATGTTTGTTTTTTCTCTTATTATTCATCGTAGTCAGACACGAGTTGAAAATTTTTCGTGTAAAAAGATGATGATTAAAATTGAATGGCGTGATGATGTGTCGATGTCAGGTGAAACCAAGAGAACGGAGAGACTTGAAGAAAATATAACTGTTATGTATACATTTTGAAAAAATCGAAATATAATGATTCTTTGGCATACAACAAAGGCGAACATGATCAAATGATCTTGGTAGTTCAAAATAACGCTTTTTTTGCTGATCGAACTTGTAATCAAAATTTACGTGTCATCTTTTTTTTTGCAAAATAGTGCATAGATCATTCAGATGTGATAGAGGATTCTAACTCATTTTCCAATTGGTAACTAAGAACTGCCTATAATCTTTTTTATTTCTATCGTACCTATTCATTCATTCTTTCTCTCTGTATTTGTTACACACCATATTCTCTTATGAATCCTATATTTTCATCATGGCTTTTAATTTTTTCTCGTCTCTTTTTTCTCTTCTTCGAATTCTTTTTCTGTTACCAACATGATAAAGGTGAAAGTTATTAGATTAAAAATAAAACGAACACAAGAGAGAAAAGTACAAAAATGTTGAATCTTGTCTGCACCCGAAATCCCTTTTCTCCTATCATTTGAACACGTAAAGAATATGTTTCATTCATGAATTTGTTATTTTTTAGTCATCGTTCTGTGATCATGTTAGCATCGAAAATTTCTGTTCATGTATCAATAAACGAATATTAACAATCAATGATAATTTTACCAAATTTAGTTTATCCTAGCAACTAGAAAACCATAACCATAACCATAACCGTACAAATAATGACGCATCCTCATTTAACTGCTGAACAAGTCGAAAATTGGAAAGGCTTAAAAGGAAATTTTACATTAACACCAAATTTTATTGACCTTGTGCAAGGTATATGGAATACAATATTATGGTATTATGCGCCTCACATGTGGAAAAATTATGTATTTCCCGATTCCTTTGTTGATGAAATCACGCGACATTTTTATTTTCCAATAAATCAAGTTTATTACATCATTTATATTGCAATTTTTATAACATTAATAAGATATACATTTGAAAGATTTATTTGCAAAGTTTGTGAATCTTCATTATTGCATTTTTTTTGTTATTTCTGTTTTCGGTTTCAGCCATATGTCAATTGGCTTGAATTAACATCGACAAATAAAAAGAAATTTCCTGAATCAGCGTGGAAAACTGTATTCTACACATGTACGTGGGCATTTAATGTCTATTTATTAACTTATCGTTACGATTATTTTCATCGTCCATATCTGATTTGGGATGGTAAGTAGAAGACAAAAATCTATCAATCATTCGTTTTTATTATCATTGAAAATTAAAACATTAGATTGGGCATCTGGTATGAATGTTCCATTTGATATTCAAGTAATGTATTTTGTTCAATGTGGATTCTATTTGCATTCCGTTTATGCAACCCTCTATATGGATTATAAGCGTAAAGATTTTTATGCTATGCTAATTCATCACGTATTAACAATGGCACTTATCTTTGTTTCATTTGCAACACGGTAAAATAAGTTTTTCAAAGGAAATTTTCGTATTTTAATTCAAATTATTTTTAATAGCTACCATAAAGTTGGTTTACTAGTTCTTTTTGTACATGACATAACCGACATTTGGCTTGAAATAGCAAAATCATTGCATTATATGTCGTTAAGAAAAGGTGGTCGAGAATGTCCACGTTGGGAAACTGCTGCTAATGGATGTTTTGTTATATTTTTTTTATCTTGGTAAGTGAAAATATTTTGAAAAATAATATCTAACACAGTAAATTGGTCCTATCTTTGATAAATCACAATTCATTTATCAATATTGAAAAAACACTTTACAATAGAAAAATATTGTTATCAATATATATATAGACTAAAATAATCACTGCAGGAGAAAAGAAAAAAGTCATGATATTGATGATCGAGATTCTAATGAAAACAAATGATGATGAGATAATCATGGAAGATAGTGTTATAACATTGGAGTCGATTGATGTGTCAGAAGCATAGCATAATTATTTCATGACCTAATCTTTATCAAAGTGTATTGTAATCAGAGAGTGAAATAATTGGATACAAACATATCAGATTTATACAATGAACAATTTTGTAACATTCTAAAACCTACTCCAGAAATAATTCCTAAGTACTAAACAATATTCATGTTACTAAGGAATAACTCACGAGAAAATGAAACTGATTATTCTATGAATTATTAACCAAACTGTTTTGCTTCAATTCTCATGTGTTTTCAATGCTTTCTCTCGATGAAATTTCAGAAGGGAATGGTAAAATATTCATTGTGTTCAAATTCATGCATCTAATACAAAACATAAAAGCGAACTATGAACAATTGTCAATACTAATTTCTAGTTTTATACATTGTATATTTGCTTCATTGATTTTCTTCTCATTGTTGCATTAGGTTTTTATTTCGTCTTTATTGGTATCCATTAAAAGTTTTATATTCAACTGGAGTTGTTACTGCTTATCAAGCCTATGGTAGAGGTTGCGGTTTATATGGATTTTTTAATTCACTGTTGTGGATTTTATTGGGTCTTAATATATATTGGCTCTATGTAAATATAATTATATAAAATAAATGAGTTGTTAACAATTAATATGTCTTCTACTCTTTTAGTTCATTCTTCAACTTCTTATTCGAGCATTGAGAGGTACTTCAAATGGACTACAAGATACACGTGAGGATGAAGATGATGAAGAAGAAGAAACAACGTAAGTTTGATATTGTTGATGTTACGTTAAATTTACTCAAAAGTTTTGAATTTATCAAGAAAAATAGTTGTTTTTAATCAAAAGAGAGCAGGATTCATTTTTTTATTTTATTTTTGTTATTGATTTTAGTGTAACATCGACTCCAGTAAAAAAATCCGTCGATAATACCATCAAGGAAACGAAGAAGAAGAAATGAGTCCACGCATAAAAAAAGCAAAGACTTATTTCAATGCATTTGATGGTGTTGTCTTCTGTTCTACTTTTACATTTTTCGTTTTTTCCATTCAACCATTTTCTTTAGTCGTTTGTGATGTGTGTCTTTCACCATCGAATGAATATAAATCTTGTCCCATTTGTTTGTGTGGTAGTAAAAAATAGTCTATTTTCATTTTTCACACTTTGCTTTGTTTTGTTTTCTTATTAATAACTAAATTTTGAACTAAAAAACAAAAAAAATTCAACATTAAGATTAGTAATGATTAACAGAGAAACAATGACCGATGAGGACAGTGGAAAAATCAGATAGATCAAAAAAGAATTCATATACTCGCGGAGAATATCATAGATTTATATTATCGTTTGTGTATCGATTATCTTCTAATCTGTGCTTATGTGTTTTGTTTATTTGTTTGTTTGCTTGCTTGCTTTTTTTATGCTATAATCATTCTTACTTGCAAAAGCTCAGCTCTTTTTTTCTTGTGCTTGTATATATACATTCAACATTTTTTTTATTCCATGCATGTGTTCAAGACCAATGAAACAAAGAGAATAAAAACTTTTATTAAAAATGTAAGTACGTAACAATGCGTTTTTTTCAACTAATAAGAATAAGAATAATAAAATTTGTTACGAAGGAAAAAAAATTAATCTAATCATCTAAGAGATAGATTTGTATTAGCTTATGATAAATTATTAATTGCACGGTTTTTATTCTTTATGGACATAGGCAATTGAAATTTCAATAACATATATGTCTAATCGAAATCTCTAAATGTTGACGTTTATTTTCTGAATAGAAATAATTCTATACACCTGATGAAAATGAATTTTAAGAGAGAATTATTTTACAAAAAAAAACACAGCTCAATATATAAAACCAAAGTTGTTATTGTTCTCTTCTATAGTTGACTACTATTGATTTATTATTTCGTCTATCACTTTTGCTTTTTGTAAAATTTATTTTTGTAACTATAACTGTGTATGCCGAGCAATCCTTCATAAACATATCGATTTTTTATTAGACGTCACATATTTTCAATATCTTTTATGTATCGCTAAAAATAAAATTACTTTCTACTTTCAGGTTCCTTCAGCTCGCTTTGAGATCAAAATAATGTATCAAAAAATCTTTTTTGAATTCTGAAGTCATAGAAATTCACGATCAAAATTGTCACGAAATACAAAAGATTATTAGTCTTAATAGGCTCGTGTAGATTATTGATCTTTTTACAAACATACCGTACGAAAATATATTTATTTGAATCATGTTGATACATTTTAGTATGCACTTTTCACATGGAAACCAGATTGGATTCAGTATTTTGACGATTTACATGAATATTGTATGAGAGAATCTGAAGTAATGGTTGTACGATTACTATTATCTAGACGGGAGTTACTTGTGAGAACAAACTGTACAGCAAATATTACAAAGCAAGAGAACGCATACAACTATTAATAATCGAGAATTGGGTGAGATGCCTTTTGCTTCATCAGTTCATTAGACTTGACTCATGAATCCGATCTTATCGGGTGTTGAATTAAAAATTGCCCTGATAACAAATTGATGTAACTAAAACTTATTGAATTACAATTTTCAAGGACAAAATATTTTAACTCACCGTAAATCTTACGTTATTTCGCGAAATCGAATACGATAGAAACCAGTACTTGATCAGTACACTCATATTTCTGATTATATTTTATTTAATTATATTTATTTTTCGTGGCATCGTCAAATTTACATTGATGCTCCTACAAGTTACAAACAAGTCTTACCGAGGTATTCTCAGCTAATTTCATGAATCTTTTTTAGGATGGTGACCATATCTGACTTAACGTAAAGATAATCTTCTATTTCTATTGAATCATCATCATACGATGGATGTGCAAAAACGGGATAACAGCAGAAAGCAGATGTAAGTCAATGTGTCAAAGATGTGTAATCCGAAGAAATTCATAGTCCATAATGGAATGACGAGTCCTGTGAAAAATAGATCTGTTGATTTTTGATAAGTTAAGTTTCATTTTCTTTATTTGATAACAACAAAATTCGCTGCCTTAAACTTTTTTTATTTTAAATTATTATTTCAAAGAATTAGCTTCAAGAAAGGCTTGGGAACGTCAAATCAGCATGAAAAAAAAAGAGTTCCTAGGGTCTTCACGTTTCATTTGAGGTGTATAGCATTCAGATATTGATTTTTTATTATTATTAAAATGAATACCATCATAAGTTATCTTTTTCTTTCATTACAATAAAACAAAACAAAAATATCATGAAACTTATCGATAAATTAACTTGTTCAGTCTGTTGTTTACAATTTATACTGATTCTGAGTTTACTCACAGTAAATTTTGCAGAAGTTTTCCTTGTATCACCATTCCATAAAATATACTTATCGTCATATTAAAATGTGCAAATGAAAACCTTCAAATATTGAAACGATTTTTACTCAAAGATTGATACTACTCAATCACTTTCAAACCAATTATCGATTAATTCTCAATAAAAACTAGTCATAGACTAAACAAGTATTAGCTACATTTTACTATATTCTATCTTAAAGAAATTTTCTAGTACATTCATGACTTTTTTTGTTTCTATTAAGTTCATGTCTGAATGAACTCGTTTCTATATAGTTATTTGTTTAGAAGTAATGAAAAAACATAATAATTAAGATAATCAATGTAAAGACAAGCACATAAACACTATATTTATTTGTCCAACAATATTAAAAGTAACAAGAATCATTACGAACAAACAAACTAATTGAATAAGACAACAACAAATGAAGTATTCATTTACAAAAAAAAACCATTTATATTCAGTACAATTTGAAATATTGAACATACTTTCTAATAAACAAATATTCTTTATTACTTTTTGCTGGAATAAAGAGAATTTTTTTTACATTTTAATATTCAAATCGCCACCATGTCGTATGAATTGCTTGAGATGGATAAACAATTAAAGTTGGACCATAATTTGACTGAACAAAAAGTTTAAAAAATCAGATCATTGAATTTCAACTAATCAAATATCCTTACCACTGTTTCATAAACAGGCGATTGTCTTGGACTAATACGAATACCATAGATATCAGATATTGTTTTATTAGTGTTGGCCGAAGTAACAACAGATGTATCAATCATAATACCATGATGATCAGCGAAAATAATTAATTTTGTTTTTGTTTCACTTTCTGACAATCTTTTTAAGAAAACGCGAAAAGTCAAAAAAATAATTAAAATAAATATGATAGTTTCTTTAAACATACGTTGCAATATAATTTTTTCCAATACCAGGTCGATCAATTTTAAAAAAATAATTATTAACTTCTTTTAATTGATCAACAAATTGTCCTTGAGTTAATAGATTTTTTTCCATTTCTTGACCTTTTTCTATGCTGACTGGAGTTGATCCACTGAGAGTTAAATAATGCTAAATCAAACAAAAATTGTTTTCATTTTCTTCAACAATGCTTTTTTCTTACTGTGCTCAAATTTCCATCTCCACGTAAATTAAAATAAATATTATTTGTTGGATCAGCAACAATTTGTTCGTTTAATCCTGGCGATACAAATGTTGTCATTACTAATTCGTTAGGATTGGATGATGTAAATTCATAAATAGTTTCAATCAAACCATGAACAAAACGAACACGATACGGTGCATTCAGATCGCCATACATTGACCAATCTTCATTATCAGAATTTAATAATGGATAATTCAATGGTAATTGATTATTCATATCCATTGAATTGGTTTTACCATCAAAACCCAAACGAATCGAACCAAATTGATTACCTTTGAGAACAACTGAACGGTAATGTTGTAATCCATCACTGTGAACATATGGAATTAATATATCATTTACAGATGCACCACGACGTGATAAAACAACAATTATGCCACCGTGAGTTCGAGATGTTAAATTGAAATACGGTTCAGTTATTGGCTCATTTAATGGAGTAAAAAGATCTTGTTGCTTATATTCACCTAATAGTCTTGATGGATGTTTTCCATTGTCGTTACGTGCATTCTAGAAAATATTAGTATTGTTCAATCTACGTATAAGTTGGGAAAAAAATAGACTGAAATCTAGAAAAATAAGAATCAACTCTATCGAATTCTTCTAATCGTGAAGTTTATATTATAGTTTTTTGTTTTATTTCATTCAGTAAGACTGTTCAATTTTATGCACTATAATAAATACAAAACATAGACTATCAGTAAGTATAATACCATACTTGAATATATGATATAGATTCAACTATATCAGATAACATGAATAAAACTTTTCGGAGTTGTCATCCATACAAAAGAATCAATCCTACGTATTCGATCTTCTGGTAAATTAAAGAACAAAAGTGTATTATTGTTAAAAGCTATGATTTACCAACGAACTCAGGCAAAGCATTTTGATAGATTATTATTTTCAAACACATGTTTCAAAAACTTGATAGAATATATAGCGTATGATTAAAATAAAAGTATGTCATATATTAACATGTGACTCAGTGTTTTTCTCTAGGGATATCTTGAAGAGATGAACAGTTCATACCAGATGTTGTGCTCAACCCATTTAATTAATTAAATCTACTTTCTTTTTTTTTCGAATCTAATCTCAGGGGAATTCTTGTCTCGTCCGATATTATTTTTACAAACAATATACATGGATAAGTACAGAAAGTCAGTAAAAATAACAAAAAGTGGTCAATTCGTGCAATTTCTATTCAGTTATTCTTTCAATGAATAAAAATCGTCTTCAATCACAAATAAATTTGGATAATTGTTTATCTTAACATAGCTATATTCAATATGAACACCTTATCATCGTGTAATATTTTTCACTAATCACTCATCAAATGAGAAATCAACCTTGAAAAAAATATTTTGATAACTTCTCTAAGAATAGCTACTCGTCTTCTAATCGAAAAAAAATAGATGACATGTTTTTAAACTCAAATAGACGATAGCAAAAGGATAATAACTCACTATAGTATATGTTTCGCGCAGTGTTTAATTAGAAAGTATGTTTGTCCTTACAATGACAGTAGTATTGACAAAATACACATAAATAATTGCTTCGCTCATGAATCCCTTCTATGCACATCTAATATCTTTCTCTTCTCTTCGCTTCGCTTCAATCTCAAACAAACAAAAATGCTTTCAGTAGACTTACTGTTTTACTCCCGAGAATAATTGCAATGACACACAGAAATATTGCAAAACAAACAATAGCCAAAACTAGTAATAATGCGTTGACCAGTGAACAAGGTGATTTAACTTTATCTGGATGTTGATCAGTTTCATCAATATCAACTTTGTGATGTTGATTAAGTTTCAAACCATTTGTTTGTTCATGTTCATTTGATTTTCCTGTTGCTGCTGCTGCTGCTAAAGCGACATCGTGTGCTTGATAGTTGATGTCCATTTTAGCTTGAAAATTTCCATCGGTTTCTGTTTGCTCGACTGATTCTGTTGGATTTTCAATATTTGATTCAAGTGTTAGCGTTGTTACTGCTTCGTCAGTTACAATAGGAACGAATTGTGAGCAAAGCGGACTACCTGATTTAGGACTTATATGTGTTGCAGATGTTAATACAACGTTCTCCATTTTCTTGACGACAACAAATAAAAAATATCTATAGCGAACAGATTTGAAATGAATGTCTATCTGTATCTACTTTTCTTTCTCTATCGCCCGTTTATCCACACCCGTCCGTATGAACAATAGATATAAGAAAGAGTGTGTATGTATGAAGGAGAACGAATCTCTTTCTCCTTCGGAATGAAGAGAGGGATAAACGGTCAGTCCTCCAATGACCTTCTTACTATTTCATGTATACACGATATAGTTCGAATTAAGCGAATGGCATATACTGTTTAATTCTTTTCCTAGCTATACATTTTAATCAATGAAACGGAAGACTTGAAAGAAGACAGAATGAGATCAGTCAATATATATGTGTGTATACATATATATATATATTGTTTTTTTGACTCTCGACGCCCTCGATGTATAACGTATGTGTGAATAATTGACAAGTCCATCCAATTATACATATCAATATGTTTACAATAAAAAATGAACACATGCCACTGACTCTGTGTAGAATAAAAGTCAATTTCAATTAGATGTGTGAAAGCATTTCAAATATATTGAATACCACGCTAATTAGAAACAAAAAATTTGTTCGATATGCAAAAAAACAGCGAAAGTTTTATTGTTTCTATCTTGTAATAAAAATTCCTATCATATACAACAAGGTTTTGAATTTAATATGGAAAGTCCGGGAAAAGATTTTGTTAAAGTTGACTAAATGTTGGAAATATATCAGTAAAAAGTGAACAAAAAGAAAGGAAAGCATGTTTTTTTATATTAAGGTTGACTAAGCTATCACCTCATTCGGAACACATCTCTAATCTTATCATCTGTTTGGTATTTGGAAATGAACAAGTAAAAAGAAAACAACATTCTCTTCCGTTTTGTTTTAATATGTATATATATCTAACCGAAACATTTAAAAGCAACTAAATGATTGCTATCTTTATATGAGAGATGACTGGTCGGCTCAAGGATTAAGATCACATGCTGTGTCGATGCTATATGCACATAAGAATGAATGTTTTTGAAGTGCATATGTATATAGAGCGGCATCTTATTTTCTTTATGATTAGTTATGGAACTAATTAAAACCTTTGCTGTCACAGAGTCAAACGGCGGAGTGGGCTACAGGAAGAAATCTGACTAGGAATCGTTGAAGTCAAGTGACTTGAATGCGTAAAAAAAGTGGAAAGAGACAATAAATGAACTTTTTCTTTGAAACGAAACCGATACAACACTGAGTTAGAGAACTGTTCATATCATTTATATATGACAAACTTTGATCAAAAGATGTAAAATGACATTTGAAACGTTATACATAGTTTTTCTCTCTATTGATTAGATCTAATGTATTTGATATCTCATAGAGATGATGATCAGTCAATGCGTATGAGGTGTAGATTTGTTCTTCCATTGTGTCAACATCACATAAAAGATGTTTATTAGACTTTGAACAAGATTTAGTTACCGAAGAATAAGGACTAAAATTATAAATATCATAAAGAAAAACAAATTTGACAGTATTTGATGATGAATTCATTGTTTTCTTCATTTAAACAAAAATGTACAGATCTATATCTTGATTAAGTTGGATATAAGAATACAACAATCGAACCCTATTAAAGATAGTTAATTACTATGCGATTGAATAATTTCGTTCTGTGTACAATTGATACCGATCTTGTATAAAAATTTGAATATCACCGAATAGGCGTGTTAAAAGTATTTTATTAATATTTTCACACGAATTTACAATATTTCAATTTTTTTTAAAGAATACATCTGAAAGGTATAGTTCAATTGTAAAATGTGTCATTTTTTTTCCTAAATTTAACTGAAATCGATAATAATGCTTTCGTTTCTTTAGTTTATTTAATAGGACATAATATTTCTATTGTTGAACACATTGATTAATTTATAACTATTGTGAAAAAATGTTAATGAAATAGTTATATTCGATTGTGTTACTTACATAATACAAAATATTGATTGGTTGAGAGGTTATTTCGCATGTCTTAATTTTCGAACGTGAATGAATTCATTTGAACACTTCAACTTAATGTCTTAATGGAATTTGATAGTAGATTATAGTTGAAGTAGAAACGAAACATGCAGTGAAGATTCTTATTCTCAAAAGGTTAGAAACATATAAAATAGTCTAAGATTCTATACATATTTTGTATGCTTGTAAAATTTCATTTTAATGAATGAATTATAACGAAGCGAACCAATTACAAATGGAATTTTTCATTCATTCATTCATTCAGTATTCAAATAAATATCAGTAGATCGAAACAACGAACTGATTGAAGTAGACTTCAATAGTCGCAAGGTGCCACTAAAAATAAACGAAAATACAGTATAACATCGAGAATGAAGTATTTACGAGAGTTTGTTCAGTGTTACGTGAATTTTGATGACAATATATTGTATTGTGATTTCTCAGTTATCTACTTTAGAAAAGAGCGAAATTTTATATTTTCATTTGTATTCAAATAATGAACATTCAACTCAAAGAAAATAAACTGTATTATTTATAAAGTCCTAACAGAAAACGCCACGAAAGATTTTTCAAGTTTTTCAACAAGTTGAAATATCAGACAATAGTCTAACTTAGGATATGAAATTAATCTATTTTCGCAGCACAACCATTCACCTTTGCCAAGTGAGAGTAACCATGTGTTGCAGTGATGATAAACAATACATATTAAAATATTAGTATTTGTGTTCCAAGTAAAACGGATTCTATTGAATAGTCAAATGATTAGTTTGGCAAAAACGTTGAAATTGTTTATCTTTTGAATTATTAATTTGTTTAAATAAGTGGAATATTTGAGTATTTTAATCAAACATAACTCATCATTATTCATTCTATTCCAATAGTCACATAATAAAACTTATGAATTCAATATGATATATTATTGATTTTTCTTTTTTTTTTATATTTTTCTTTTTTATAAATTATGAATATTATTTATATTTAAATTTAAACTAACTGTAATCAATAATATTCATATTATTCGTGAAATACAATGTAAAGAATAAAGAAAAAGAAGAAGAAAAGAAAACTTAAAAATAGATGAATTAAAACTAATCAGACATCATCTTCATGAGTTTCAACACCGATCACATCAAGTGTATTTTTTCGTGAAAGTTTCTCATCCGATAGAGTTTCTCGTCTTGGTACAGCTAATTTTTCAACTGTTTGTAAGCGTTGACCGAGTGCTGTCATATTTGCTGTATATTCACCCATAAGACGTGCTAAACGTGTTTCTAAATTATCTATATTTCCTTCTAATCGTGTCACTTTTTCAGGTATAGCTGCTTCGTCCTGTTGTGCTCTTTGTGCTGCTTCTTCATCTAATAAATTATCTTTACGCAAATGAGCTTTTCCACGTTCAATTAATGTATCACGTGCTGATGGATATTCAGCTAATACTTCCCATAGATCTTGTTTGGTTAAACAAAATAAATCTGAATAGCCAACACTTCGAATATTTGCTGTACGACGATTACCAGTTTTACTTCCTCAAAAGGCAAGCATCATTTAGAATAGAGTTTTCAAAAAAAAACCGAATGCTTACCAGGTATATTCAGAATAGAGATTTCACCGAAAACACTTCCTTCTTCAAGTGTGACAAATATTTTTGTTCCATCATCTGATACAACACTTAATCGACCACGTTTTATTATATACATTTCTTTGCCAATATCACCTGAGTAAAAATCAAATAATTAGTAAATGCAAGTTGATGCGAGAAGTGTTTCTTTATTAAATAATTGCCTCGAAATTTAAATTCTATAAATCATCTGTTGATCTTGATTAAATATCGATACGCTAAAATTAATTATGAATTAACTATCGTAATTCATCGTAGTACTACTGAAAGAAATTCTTATTTTTTCAAATTTTGACTTTATATTTTGTGCAGAGATAGATCTTAATTTGCATCGTTTAGTTTGAAAGTTATATATCATTTGATTTATTCCTTTTGTTTTGAAACAACAATATCAAAATCTATCAGTACGGAAAAGTAAATGGTAAGGAAAATCGCCCAGAGAATTTTTCTTAGTAATCTAAATCTCTGTTAAAATTTTCAAGTAAAAATTTGAAAATAAGAGTTTTGCTAGTAATCGTGAAAAATTTCATGGCATTCTTCAAACAATAATGGGTCGATTTCTTTCTTGAGGCTAAAATCCTAGAGAAAATTCATTGGCATGTTTATAATGTACAATTCAATATAAGTGATTATAGTTTGTTGTTTTAAAATAGGATAATATCAAGAAATATTTCTTGTTATGATACAGATATAACCATTTTAACACAATATTTGTTTATGCCATTAGTATAAAAAATGTTTTTTTTCTTTTTACATTGGTCATATATGTAAACAAAGAAATTATTCTATTTTATTGAAGTTAACTAGAGATACTTGAGTTTTCTATTACATTCTCAACTTTATAGATAATATAATAATCACCTTTTTTACAAACATAATCTCCTGGACTGAAGATTTGTAATTTTAATCGTGTAACAAGTTCAACAAGTAAACCTGGTTGAGCTTCAGCAAAAATAGGTACTCGTTTTAATGCTGCTAGATGTACATGAATTGCAATTTCCACGCGCAATTTTTGTGGTAATGCACCTTTTAAATAAAACCCATAGACAATATTACATTTTTAAAAACATCTTCTGTTTTTTTTCTTCTTACCTAAGACAATATCTTCATTGGCCACTTGTTTTTGTAACCATAAATAATCAAACCAAGTAATAACACGTCGTTCAAGATCTTTTCCAACTTTTCGAAATACCATATATTGTTTAACTTGATCAACTTTTTGTCGAAAATCAGCACGAACAGCATTCATACTAGCGATAATTGAACCAACATTGCCGACAACTATAAAAGTCATGTATGGAATCAGAACTCTCAGCAAAAAGAAGTGAGACATACTTGTAGCAAAAATAAGTACACCTGTGAGAAAATCAGCCGTAACAAAAAGAACTTCAATCTAAATATTTTCAAAGAGAAAAAGAAAGCAATATTTGATGCGTCATTCTTCAAATTTCATTCATATCTATATAATTACATGTATATATAGCATAGATAAATTCTAAGTCACTTGAAAGTACAAAAACAATGAATTCCAACTTGAATTCCGACTAGAGATTTAAATATCGTAAGTGATTGAGTCAATCTCTTGTGAATCATTCATTAAACCGGTATTAGTGTTTACTCGAGCAGTAATGTTCGTGTCGATTTGTCAGATTTAAACGTCAATTTCATGTAAACATACTCTTTTTTTTTTAAAAAAAGTTGTTTTAGGAGGCCACACTCGTTGAAAATTCCATTATAGATATAATTCCTGTTTAGAAATCTATCCTCAAATTCCCAGAGCAGTTTGTCGCATGATTAGAAATATTTTCATCAATAACTTTTCAATTAATTATCAGCTGACGCGACCAACATTTTTATATATGTCAATGATAACATAACTTATTGAAGAAATAATCGTTGTAAAGAATCAAAGTCCAATAAAAGATAAATAGCTACGTCTCATATTTCATCCAATAGACAGTGATTAACTTACGTCAGTTTCTGGTGGTGGTACTTCTCCAATATTTGTTAATACAAGTGTAGACCAGAAAAAACAATATAAATATTGTGTTGTTAATGTTGCTGCTGTTGGCGCAGTCATATTATAAACCCATCCATCAGTTGAGTAACCAATCCAACGACTAATTATAAAATAAAAACAAGCATTCCAATGTATAATAATCATAATAATAATTAATAATGAAACAAGACGAAACACATTTGGATGATTGGTTTGTGTTTCAACTTTATCCGAAAATTCAAATGTACGATAAATACGAAATAAACGATTGAAGCGTAATGCTGGTACGAGACGAAGTTTAGGAACAAAATAAAGAAAATCCGTTGGTAACAATGATATTAAATCAAGTATAAACGCTCGACTTCTCATATAGTTTTTACGTAATTTTGTAATATCTCGAACAATAAGACCCTGTTCTAGATAACCTAAATACGCACAAGAATATAACATATGATTTAATAGAATAAATTTTAGATTGTAGTATTTGATCGAACCTCTTCTTGTTTGTATAAATGTATCAACAATATAACAAACATCACAAAGATAATCAAAAATTAACCAAACAATTAAAAGACGTTCTTGAAGTAGAAGAAAAGCACTACGACCAATAAGCATTATGCAATTGTAAAGAACAGCAAGTGAAACAATCGATGACCAATAATAATAAAATGTTTTTGATGGATCTATTACCCAAGTTTTACTAATATTGATCAAACAAAATATAAACTATTACGATAAGTATATATAAATTCAATTATTTATAGAATCAACCTCTGTTCTTTTTGAGCTGATTGACTTTTTGTTGCTGGTACAAATTTTTCCAGAAATGAATCACTTCGTTCTGGAAGTTCATGATGTTCTTGATTTCGTCGCATCCATCGTCGAATGCGCTATTACGAAAGGAAGAGATTTAATACGCTGACAAAATGAACAATTATTCAAATATAAAAAACAATACTTTAACAATAAGTCAATATACACAATAAATAACATGCATTTTACTTACACCTGTAAAATTTATTCTTTTCTGAAAAAGAAGGAATTTATTTTAATTTTTTCCTATTAACAAGTAAAAAGCTAATGATATAAATCAAATAAACCTGTGCTCGTCGAACCAAATCGAATAGAGATAAAGCTGCTCTTTGCATTTGCTCTTGTTGTGGTTGTTCAAGAGGAGTATTAGTTAATATTTGAATACCATTATTAGAATTAGCCGAATTTTCTTGATCAGGCTGTCGTGCTGAATAGGCAACCGCCGGCAGTTGAGTATTATTATTCATAATAACATAAGGAGCAGTTCGTCGATGTCGACGATTTAATGGAGATGCCATTCTTTTTATGTTTTTATTAAATATTGTATCATTCAAAATGGTATACTACAACTTCGTCAAGAATAAGACGAATCATTAATAATTGAACTATGGTAGATCTAAAATTAGCAAGAATCTTTTTCTTTTTTCTTTTTGCACATGCTGTTTGTGACAAATGGCAAGCGACCATTAAAAATAGCATTAATGAATATTCATTGTATCAAACATTGAATTTTCTGTCGGTATTCGCACTTTTATGTGCATTGTTTTATGGGATACAAGCAAATACAAAAACGAACACAACATAGAATGTCTATTTTTCATTGATTCTACCTGTAGAAGCGCTATGACTACACATATTCCTATAAGATTTTCCTGTTTGACACTCTCGACCGTGTGTGATGCTGCTCTTGTGTCAGAAGACATCTTCTCTTATTTCTCTCTCTTTTGTCTTCAGATTGAAAAGAATCAGTTTTTTTTCTCACATTCTCTATTTTGTTCTGTTCTTGGAAGAAGATCCTTCTTTTCTCTTCTTCAAAGCAAACTCTTACTCTTACCTATGCAATGGGATGAGACGCGATGCATCAATAATGTTTTAATTTTTTTCTCTTCTTCACATCATGCTTGAACTTGCTTTCTGTTCAATGGCAGGTTAGATAAAAACATAAGGATAAAAAAAGAAAAGATTGCTTGGTTACGCTTGATAGTTGCCATGGGAAATTTCTAGACACATCTTTGTATTTATCGTAAAGCAGATAGTTGATTATTTATTCTTGTTGTACAAGAAATCTTGGTAGTCAGCCATGCTATGATCCCGAAAATTGTATAAACTGACATTCCAAGAAAGTATTAAAATAAAAACAGCAGAAATCATAAATTACTCACCTTCTAAAATCAAAATGAAAGGAACACAAAAAACTGTGAAAATTTAAAAGATTGAAAGCATAATTATATTTGTTATGAAAGAAAAAGGTTTTTCTAAGCAAATAAATTTACTTTTATATTGAAGATATTTGAAAGTTAGATCAATTTAATATATTTCATTTCTATTATCTTTTAGCTTGATACAATTTTGTTTTGTGAAATATTTTGTTGTTCAACTTTGATTGATAAACAAAAGTGAATCGTTCCCAATCATCAAGTTATAAAGAGAATTATTGAAATCAAAAGTCGTTTGAAACAGGATATGTTAAATTTGAAAAACTGAAGTAAAGTGTATCAGAGAGTTTTGCAGTACATTTTTGAAAAACAAACGTACGATTAATAAACATTTCAGTCATTCCGTTAGAATTTATCAAGTATCCAATAGAAAATTTTGAAAAAATCATTACCATCAAATTTTTAATTCTGCTAGCAAGTAAAACATTTCAAGAAAACGATTTCTCAACTCACTGTCTACTTTTTCCGTTTTTCTATGTATTCAAAATGCTTATATTGACATGGGCGAATATTTTCTTATTACCGACTAATCGAAGAATATACATTGAATATTTAAATTACTTTGAAGTAAATACATTGTGATGTATAGAATATAAAGCAATCTTTCGGCAATAGCTTGATTTATAGTTTATGGTAAAAATTTTCCTAGTGTCTAATGAAATCTATCCCAGTAAATATTTAAAACAAATTTTATTTTGATAACACAGTAAGGTTGTATCGTGAATTCTTCCAATATGAGTAAGGTAGCCATTGTTTGTAAGTGGTAAATAAAATTGCAATTGATAGAAATCTATAGATCGTCGACTATAAGAAAATGTAAATATCTACTTTTTTCCGCTTATACATCTATGGTCAACTGATTTTCTGTCTTATGCAATCTGTAACTTGCTTATGACCTGTTGACGTTATACATATATATGAAGCAGAATACATGCTTGCAACGAGCGAAGACAGTTAGTATTCGAAAGATATCTATACATCAATGAGATATTCGTTTGGACTACAAGCAGATACGTACACCCTCGCATGGCGTATTAAATAATGATAAACTATTGCCTGTATATTATCTAACAAGACAGAGAACGTTAATTTTCTTTCATTGTTTTTGTGCATATTAGTAAGCTAGAGAACATTTCAAAATCGAATTTATTTGATATAAAATAACTAATACATTGATTAACAATGTTATCGTTAATTTAATAATAATTTTTATGTCTTTGGCCACTGATTATCTTGAAAAAACATATTTCCTAATTTCAATTTTGTTTACAAAAACCAAAATTGAATTATTCATTGATAGTATGATGTTAGTCGATTTTTGAATATTTCTATCGATTAACAAAGCTTGACATATTGGTACCAAGTAAATGCCCTAAAGATAAAAGAAACAAGCGGAAGTTCCTTGCCTCAAGTATACAGAAAGAAAGAGAAGCAATTGTATACAGTTAAGATAAGATTCTTCATACTGTACTTGGTAGGAACAAAACAGAGCAGCAAGATATTTTTCATTAGCTTTTATTTACTGTCGGATATAAGAGACTCTCTATTTTTTTATTGAATTAAACATAAACGACTAGTAGAGAAATCAAACCAATAATTATTTAGATTTTTATTTGTTACTCATTTCTACTTTCGCCATTTGTTGAAAGTACCGCAATTCCATTTGTTACGTTTGTGAAATTAGATTTAATATTAACAATTATTGTAAACAATGAAAAACTAAATTTTCATGAGCATAAATTAGTTTTTTTCCGTTTGATATATAATAAACATGCTATTATCAATTATAAATTTATTCAATGTTGTGATAATAGATTGAATTAAAAAATTGTTTTAATTTATGCACATGTCAAAATGATAAAAAGATACCTGTTTGTCGTTTATTTTTCTTTCTTGTTTTCTTTTAGTTGATATCTTCAATGAAAACAAACTGTAAAAGACGAGATGTAAACCTCGAACAAAGAATTGTTTGTTATAATGATTACGATGACGTTACTTACAAAAGGACGTAGCAAAGTGAAAAAAAATTGTTATCTTTTATACTCTGTTAGTTATGTTGAAGATGAAAGTGCACATATTTGACCACAAATAAAGCTTTTACTGCGCTCATGTTTTTTCAATATTTATCATACTTTGTTTTATAATATTTAAATCTTATTTCCAGCAAATTTCCAATTATGTATCATCAAGGAAACACCAATAGTGATACAGATGATGATCATGTTCAAGATCGTTCGGGTAAGTTTATTAGAAGACATTAATTTTTATTTATCTCAGTGAATAACTTGCATCTACAACATTACTTATCAAAGACTAATCAATGTTAAATTGAAGAAAAAAAAAAGAAAATTTTCAATTTAACAAAAATATTTCAGAGATTTTTAACTTGTTTTTCTTAATTTTAGACAGTATCTCAAACACTCAATATCACCATGATCGTAGACAAACAATTACTTCAGTCACTTCGAATATTTACAATCATCTAGTTACTCAACCTTGTTGGCTTTGTACTTGGTATGTAGTATGTGTGCGACATCTTAACGAGTATTTGTTAATATATATATATAAGCTCGTAGTTTAAAAGAATATTTATTAAGTGATTATACTATGATAAATGTTAGCGTTACACGAAAGATTTTTTGATAGGCTTAATGATTTATAATTAAGATTCGAACTTAAAACTGAATGGTTACATTACATCCAATAGTTTTAATGAGTTCATTTCTCAATGTCGTCTTTAGCTTGTCAATAGAGATCACCCCATCCTGATCATGCGATGAAAAACGTGTTTTTTTATTACTATATGAGAACATAAATGCCCTTGAACTCCTCTGTATTTATGTACAATGTAAATTTTAATGAATAAAAAAAGATCTATTTTCTTTTCTTTTGATCAAACTATTTTGGTATGAATGAAGGCGTAGATAACAACGATTCTAATCATAGCAGAAATAATCTCATGTTTCTAATTCGTATGCCTTCAACAAATATGTGTTTTGTTCCATGTAAAATATTAAAGAGGTAATATCAATGATTAAATTATTTATTTCACTGTCGAGTCCAGCGTCACTTAGTTCTTCTTCTTCTTCTTCTTGTCTTGATGCTGTTGTTCTTTTTTTTCACGCATCTTTCATCGTACTGCAACTAACGAAACTATTTATCAATCACTATGACTCGCTTTTCTTCTTTTATCCTACGACTCCTGTCTATGCCAACGATCGAAGCAAATAATAATTAAAAGTTCATATTAATCTATTTACTTTCAATAAATAATATACAGAGTAAACAATATTATCATTCATCATATATTTATTGTTGTCCATTTGTTTTTTCCTTCTTTCTTTCATACATATACATAGATAACCAAGATATATCTATATTAATAAATATCTGGTGTTTTTTTTTTCGGGAAATCTTCTAGTATAGTTTATTCTACTAGTAGTTATTATTTTCAGAAAACATAATAGAATATGGATACAATTATTACATTTTTCTCTTCTTATCTTTGATTAAAAACACGGTGCAGCTCGTTAGTAAATTGAAAAACGAGCTTGATATACAATTCCGCTTATCAAGCAAATATTACTCATTGTTATTTTTCTTTTCTTTTATCTATTCTAGATCTGCTATTATTGCCTTGTGAATTTTGCTCGTGTCTGTTTTTTTTTCGTACCCTTTTTCTTATGTTTCGTCTTAAAAGTCAATGATAATTTTTTAATAATAACCAAATTACAATATGGAAGAAACCAAACCGTATTTTACTGGAAAGTAAGAATATTAAAAAGGAATTTTCTTCGAAAAACTAAAAAAAAATCTTCCATTCATAACATAAACTAGACTCATTGTGTACATAATTTTTCTGTACTCTATCAGCAATATTCTGTATACAGATCGGTTTCGATAATGATATTTAAATGAACAAGTGGTAGCGGTGATAAAAACCAGGTAGATTTATAATATATCTTCTTTCTAACACGAAAAAAAAATCGAAATCCTAATTAACCAACTTTTTTTCTTATATCACTGGATGAGTTTAAAACTAACAGTATATATTGTAATCGATTATGTATTCATTTTAGTATTGCACGTACATATCTTGTCTACGCCTGTCATATCATATTCACCTGTCTTTTGTTTTCTTTCCATATAATGCTTTGTCATATAGTAACAAAAAGCTATAGTCATTAAACCGTGAAGGTTATTTTTATCGCTTAATAATCTGCATGCTGTGTATAACTATGTGACTAGTAGAGTATCCCCGTGACTTATACAATAACGTAATCATAAAGAGTCCTCGTGATTTAGAAACTAGCGGAATATTAGAGAAAAACAAACTGGTTTTTTTTGTCATTAACATGGTTGCTAACGATTGTGAGGAAGCAATAAGTATTCGAGCGGAGATTTATATTGAGAAAATTATAAAAAGGTTAATTTTAAAAAAATTAACTTTTTCTTTAATCTTATTTCATTTTCAACAATAGGTATTCAACATTCGTGGTTAAGCATTCATGGTGCTTTCTATTACTTGGATTCAGTATTTGTATTGCTCTTGGCTTATCATCAGTAATACTACGTGATCTACCGGATTTCAATGATCCGACAAAAGTAATGTTTATCTTTTTACATATTTTCGTTTTGAAGAAACAAACATCGTCTCTTGAATTATGCTAGGGTTTCGTTCCACGCGGTAAACATACATTAACTTCACGTTTATTTGTTCTTGAAAAAATCAAGGCTAAACTTGATCAACAATTGGCTACAGCAAAAATAATAAATAAAAATACAGAATCATTATCAAAAAAGTCTCCTGTGTCCATCAATCAAAATAATGGAGAATATCAAGAAGACGACGATGATTTCGAAGATGACAATAGTTTAAACCAAAAAGATCTCGAAGAAGATCTAAGAGCTACACCATACGATTGTGCTTTTAAATCATCGAATCAAAATCAATGTTTAAATAATCTTCGAGTGTATGAATTACTGAATAATGGAACTGATTTTTTAAAAACATCAAAATTAATTCAATCACAACTTTATAAACCAAATGAACATATGTGTACATCGATTGATTTAAGTATGTGCAATATTTTTTGAAGATATCTATAATTTATATTCAACTAAGAAGGAAAATTTTCTAGTAAATTTCTCACTTTCCAATTTGAAATATGGCTCTTATACAGATGACAATAGATTAGAGATATTCTGAAAAGATTAGAAGCTTGTTGACGGTTACTAATAAGATTTGTTTACTACGAAATTTTAAGATATTTTCTTTGTTCCTATTCTAAGATAAAGCTATGATAAAACCATATTGTTTACATCACTAATATAAAGAGCTGTTGCCATAGGTGATATACATTTTTATCCCTCATTTGTAAAATATATTCGTTTTGTTTATCAAAAACAACAAAAAATGAATGTAGATCTTTTAACAACAACACTGTTAAAAAATTGTAAATGCACTTTTCAAGTACTTGGAGGAAATCTTTCTGCCACTTCATCCTCCTCCTTGTTGACATACTTTTTATTCTCTTCTTCACGCTCCTGCTCGTACATAATGATACGTTCGATGTTATTATTTCAGCAAAATTCCTTATAAAAAATCTTGAAACTTTCACTATAAACTCTTTTGTATAAGAATTTTATTTGTAGGAAGTTTCAAGTTGAAACTCCGTTTTTTGTTACTTTGCCCTTGAGACGGTCTACAGTATCAATGTCAATAGTAGCGTAGAATTTTGTATTTCTGCAACAACAAAATAAAAGTTTGAAGAACTCCTATCAGAATATTTATACTTCATTATGATGTAAACAATGCATTGAACTCTCAATACGAATTGAATCAATATTGGCAAGAACCTTCTCATAAGCTAACCGTTCTCATTGGTTTGAATAAGTCTAATGTATCTATCATTGAATGATTATTATCGAATAAAAATGCGACATCCTTATTATTAGCTTCAGTAAAAACGAAGTTTCAAAAATCTAGATTTGTGAGATTATGACAAATTCAGTTATTCATTTCGATGTACTTTGCTCGATGCTCAGTAATAATTGAAATTGGAAGTACAAAGGTTATTATTTTTGGTAAAGATGATAGTTTACAAAACGGGTTTTTCTCTTATCTGATATACTTCCACTGCCGATGAATCTGTATTTGCGTACTGTTTCGTCTGTAATGATTCATGAACTAAACTTGTGTCTATCCAACTATTGACTTGGAAAAAGTTGCTAACAATTCATCTAGAGAATTGCTGCTATAATTAATAGTTTGTAACACTAATACATTAGTAGATATTTATCAGAATAAAAAAAATCAATCTTAAAATTTAGACAAGAATAGAAAAAAAAGAAGAAGATTTATTCGGTATTATTTTTTCTTAAGATCGTCATTATGAAGTTTATTTTGAAGCAAGTGATCCGTTAGCTACAAATTTATTAGATATTGATAATCTGTTATCATTATGTAAAAAGCAATATGAACTGGTTGAATTATTTCAATTACATGCAACATGTCATTATACATTACCAGAAATGATTGCGTATTTTTCTAATAAATCAGATTGTCGACAATTAACAGCAAGTGATATACCAATATTTATTGATCGTATACAACGTTGTCATTCATTATATGACACTGGTCTTATGCGTTCGGCTGGTTTAAAACGTTATCGTGCCGCACCCATTGATTTGTTTCAATATGATACGTGTTTTCGTTTTAATTTTTCATTTCTAACGTTAGAATATTTATTAGACAAGTCATTTTTATCGACAAATAAAACACGCTATACAGCTATGTGGTTTTTAAAACCTACAAAGCCAATTATATCAGCAAATGGAAGTGAAATTCATACTTCAAATACGGCTCATGATTTATTTATAGAGCATTTTTATCAAAATCCAAAATTCGATGATGGTCGAACACAAATATCAGCATTAAATTTTATGGATATTCGAATTCCTTCAGCTATGAAACAAATTCGTGCTGATATGTTTTTTGTTATTTTAGCTATATCATTAATTGTCGGAGTAAGTTATTGATAAAAGAAAATTTTAATTAAATATATTGAATATTTCTTTTTTTCTTCTTTCTTTTAAGGTAACAGTGATTTATCTTCGCTCAATAACTGTTGCATTAATGACAAATATTTGTGTTGGTTTATCGTTTGCATGTGCTTATTTTTCATATAAAATTATCTTTGGTATAGATTTATTTCCATACATAAATTTAATGGCAACATTTATTTTAATTGGCATATCATGTGATAATGTTTTTGTTATATTTGATGCATGGTATTCCGAAAAATTAGATATTTATAATGCAGCACGTTTGAACAAGCGTAAAATAGAGTTTTACGGAAAATTAACAGCTAAACAAGAAAAACAATATAAACGTGATTGGGATTATACAGCATCAATTGTAAGTCAACGTTTAACATTAAAAGATGATGTTGAACAACATAATAAAGATGAAACTGGAGAAGAAAAACATTTTGATTCAGTTAAAAATACAGACTTAATAAGGATGATGAAAGTTAACGAACAACAAATGATACAAATGATGATAGGAGTTTTAAGACATGCAGCAGCCAGTGTTTTTGTGACAAGTTTTACAACATCAGCAGCATTTTTTACTAATATGATATCACGTATTGCCTATGTACAATTGTTTGGTTTATTTATGGTAAGTTTTTCGAGTTTATGTTTAGTTATCAAGATGAACATTTTATGTGTGAGCAAAAACAATGATGATTAAATGAACCGGAATTTTATTAGATGTCAAATTTCTCTTTACAGAACTTACGACTACTGTATAATTTATAGAGATTAATGAATGAATCACCGATACATAGTTCAATAATATAAAGATTATACTGACGTTAGTATTTGCTACGTGTAAAATATTTACAAATCAATTTTATCAAAATATATTTTCTTTTAGTAACTAAATATTCATGTGTATTGAATGAGGACGATGATGAGCTCAGTAAAACTTCCTATTCCTAAACATTATTGATAGATATCAATGTCGAACAAATCTATTTTTCTTCGTCTTCTTCTTCTATCTTCGATCAACGGAATATCGACCTATATCTAAGAGTTCGATGTAAGGCTAAACGACTCTCAACTACGCAAAGCTTAAACATCCACACTGATAACCATTCTCTTCGATAGTCAAAATTTTGACCCCACGATTATGATAGAATAGAAAAATAACAGAGAGAAACATATTTTCTTCGAACTTCTGATTTAGAAAAAAATTCTTTTATTTCCATCTAGGGATGTTGTATATTATTTAATTTTCTCATGACTGTAACAATGATTGTATCATTTGTAATTGTTTATGAAAAAATATGTGAACCTCTTTCGGCTCGTCTTGGTTTATTTAATCATTTTCCTGAAATATTCGATACTATTATGATATCACTAACTCGTGTTAATCATGCCATATTCACTGTTTATATTCCACGTATCATAATCAAATTTCGTTATTTTTTCATAACGTTATTTTTAATACTTGGCATTCTTGGTTTACTAATTGTTTTTTATCATCCAAAATTAACTCCACCCAAATCTCGTCGTTATCAATTTTTTCAATTGAGCCATCCATTTGAACGTTTTGAATATCAAATGCGTGATGAATTTCTATCCTATATTAATGAAGATAAAGAAAATATAACAAATCCATTATTAATATTTATATTTGGTGTGGAAGATATAGATTTAGTGCATCCGTTCAATCCTGATAAACAAGAAACTGTTGATAATGAAACTATAGTTTTTAATAAAAAAATTGATTTTTATGACCCACTAACATTACGATGGTTGGATACATTTTTAAAAGATCTTAATCAAAGTGAATTATTTACCAATGTTCAAAACACCTATTCGCAATGGTTAAGCATTGGTAAGACGAAAAAATAAATATGTCATGTTTCTATTTTATTTTATTTTATTTTTTAGGTCAATTATTACGTGGATTTATAGAAACAGATCTCAGTATTAATTCAACGCATGATGAAAATGAATTTTTTGTACCATCAACACGGAATAAAACATTTGTAGCTATGAATCAATTGCTTAAATTTTACAATGAATCTAATCAAATGGCATCATCAAGCGACAGTAATCGGGGTAGTGATAATTTTAGAGTTGGATTTTTACCTGATCCAAAAACACATAATATACGTGCCTTCTTATTTCTTGTTAATATGAATGTAATATTTGATCGATATTCTGTTCAACATGATTACTATCAAAAATTAGAAGAATATTTTGAGAAACGTTTGGAAAAATTAAAATTATCCGAAGGATTGGAGGGGCATGTATATGAACAAGTAAAACATGGGTAAGACTAAATTTTTATTCTAGGCAATATAGTAGACAAAATAAATTGTTCCGAAGCCAGATTTGACTGTCTTTTGTGTTTAACAAATTCAAACAACTAAGAAGTGCTTTGCTTTGTGTTCCGTTAGGAATAGAATGATGCAAAAATAATCAGCAATGTTTTTCAAAAGAGAGCCTTAAAAAAGGTTTATCGACTACATTAATATTGCACGTTTGAATTATTTCCACTAAGTCTTGAAAATCATATTTCTATCATGTATTTAAATCAAGATAAAGATCTTGTAATCGAATGATACTAACAAACGTATTTCTTTGCATCGAACCTTTCGGTCATCTTATCTACAAGTTATATTCGAGGGACAAAACCTATCTTTATCTTACATGAAACTAATGGACTTTGATCAATAGTCGAATCGAACGGACTCTTAGTGTAATCAATCAATATTAGCAAGATTGCCAACACTGACTACGTAAACATCCTATCATGATATATAACATGGTCCGTCTCTTCATCTTTTTTTCTATTTCGATTTAAAATGATCTGTTTCCATGAATTCTTTCTACTTCTGAGAGCTTCCTCAAAAACTTAATCACAAAATCAAATCGTGTATAAACGAAGTTTTCAATAGTACGAATTAATTTTGAAAATATTCCAACTATCTTTTCTGTGTTATCCTAATATATATATATATATTTAATCGAGCAGTACACTGAAAATACTCAAGTTAATAGATCTACATTATTATTTATATAAGAATTCTGTTTATTTTAGTTGGTTTGTTTCGCCTCAATTTTTATTTTATGATTTAATGCGTGAAGTTATTCGTGGTACTTATACATCATTGATATTTTCTATGATATTTGCATTTTTTGTTCTCTTGTTAACTTCTGGAAATATTGTGATAACATTATATGCCATGATAACAATCACATTTATAATAGCTGATACAGTTGCAATATTTGTTTTATGTGGTTGGGAATTGAATATTCTCGAAACAATTATTATTATAATGAGTGTTGGTCTTAGTGTAGATTTCAGTAAGAAAAATACTATTATTTTTACTTATTTTTTATATAAAATCATTTGTTTGCTTTTTATTTTTCATAGCTGTACATTATGGTGTTGCATATATAAAAGCCGATTGGCAAAAATATCATCCAAATCCTCGAACAACATCAAATCATTTAAAATCACATCATTTAACCAATGGAAATCCCACAGAGCAATTGCTCTTAGAACAGGTGCCTCAGACAAAAAAGGAATTACCTAAACCATCAGCATTTGAAAAAATAAGAGTTTGGCACAGAAAAGGAAATGCACAACGTTTCAGTCGTATTAAAAATAGCCTTATTCGTGTTGGTTCAGCTGTATTTATAGCTGGTTTTACATCATTCCTTGCTGGTTTATCAATGTCACCAAGCAAATTAACATCATTTTCACAAATGGGATTCTTTCTTATGTTAATTATGTTTGTTAGTTGGCTATTTGCGACATGGTTTTTCTTACCATTACTTTCATTTCTTGGACCGATTGATAAATTTGCTGATATACCGTAAGAAACAAAAGAAAAGATCCACATTTTTTTCTTCTATTGTCCTATTTGTTGTATCTTTTTTTTTCGACCGATAGATTTGGTAAATTATGTCGATGTGGTAATCCATCATCAAAGCCTGTAGTACAAACTTTAACAGCTAATGATGATGAAGAACAACATTTAAAAGTGAAATTAACTGATGAACAATCAATTTAATGAGCCTATTCGTTTTCGTTTAACACCATTTGTCTTTCGTTAATCTCGAAAAGAAATATAATTTACATCATTGGAAGTAGCTTTGAAGGGTGCTTATCTTTTTTAATAGGTAGATCAGATATTCTTTTGGTATTCAAACAAAAGAAAATGAACTCTTCGTAATTGTCTTCTGCATTTTTTCCTTGGTTTGACACGTGCATTAATAAGACTCATATTTTCACGTGCCTTTATTCTTCCTTTTTATCTTACTTTTCGTAGAGAATGTTTTCTTTTTGTCTCTTTTTTTTTAAAGTGTATTGATACCAATTGGTTTCTTTTTGTTTTTCGGTTCATTGCACTATCCGTTTTCTGTCCAATCTGGTAGTCGAAAAAAAAAACAATTGTTGGTTTGGAATTTTTTATTTCTGCTTTTTCTTGTCTTCCTAATATTTGAAAAAAAAATACATTTTATACGATTATTTCATAAGAGTTAAGTGAATACAATGGAATTTTTTGTGATTAGCCAACTTATGTAGTTTAGTTGGATTTGTTTATTTTAACTTGTTTTCTTCGAAATTTAAGTCTGTATATGGTTCAATAAAAATATTTATATACGTCTATATCTATACTTCGAATGTATGTAATGTATTCTTCTATAATTATTTTAAGAATTTATGCGTGTTTGCTCATAGCAGTAAATGTTATTCTTCCAAATTTTTTTTTTTGTTTTTGTTTTTACGTTTTTCTTTATTTTAAAATGATAATTAATCTTTTCTTTTGTCTATATTTATTGAAATTGTGATGTTTATTTCAGCAATCTCAAATAGACGGATTCTTGGTGAAAGTTTTTACTTTTCAAATATGTTCTTTTTTTTTATCAAACTATATTTAAATCACTCCTATTTCATCCCATAGAAAGATAAATTTCAAGAGCTTGATAAATTCTATAAGTCATGGTAGAGCTGCGTTTTAGTTAGAATCGGTAGTATTGCCAACTGATTTCATTTTATCAATCAGAAACTAGTAACACAATATGTTAAATTACTAGTTAAACCGATAAATTTATTTTAGTATCAATTGAAAAAAGAAATTGATCAAGCTTAGCATTGAAAAATATTCTTATTGGCTCTACACAAATGTAGTTATTAAGGTTTCAACGAAATATTTTCTTTAATTCCAAACTAATATCATTAGAATTTCAACGATAGCTATATAAGAAACAACGTGAAGCTATGTAACGATTAACAATTAATCTTGCCTAAACAATGAAAGAAATATTTCAGCATAAAAAGAAAACTGTTTATTTCATACTTTAACTTCGTGTTAGTATGCTAAAAATATCCCTATGAAAAGAAACAGAAAGAGGAAGAAAAACACTTTTCAGTTTTGAATAAGTTCATTCATTTTGTTAATAAATCGATCAATATCATTTTCTGTTGTATCAAATGAACACATTAATCTAACTTCAGAAGTTTTCGTTCTCCACATATAAAATGGAAATAATTCTGATAATGGTTTATACCAATCTCTTGGTATTTCTAGAAAGATAGCATTGGTTTCAACTGGCCTTGTTATACGTATTAATGGTTTATCATTCTTTTTCGGAAGTGATTCAAGACGCTTTTTTAATAATTGTGCCATACCATTGGAATGTTCACTTGATTTCTTCCAAAAATCATTTTTTAGCAAAATTAAAAATTGAATTGCTATAAAACGTTGTTTCGATGCTAATTGCATCACTTGTTTATGACGGTATTTCAATGAATTATCTTGACCATCATCACTTTTGAGTAGCGATTGATTGAAAATAATAACAGCTTCTCCGTACATTAAACCAGCCTAAATCAAATAATAAATATATTGAACTATTGATTATTATCTATTTAAACATCTACTTTTGTACCACCTAATGAAAGAATATCAACACCAACCGCTGTTGTTATATCACGAAGAGTACAATTTAATGATGATGCAGCGTTAAATAATCGTGCACCATCAACGTCTAAAATTAATAATCATAAAAAAAAGTAAAAGTTCATTCAAATTATCAAAATAGAAAAACTTACGAAAATATAAATTATGCTTTTTAGCTAAATTTGATATTTGTTTAAGTTCATCAATCGTATAAACAGTTCCATATTCTGTTGGTTGTGCAATTGTTATCATCTTTGGCTGAGCCGCATGCATATCACCGATACGATCTAGTTTTTCTTCAATAATATCGACATTGATTTTTCCATTTTCATCGGTTGGTATTGATATTAAACGTACTCCAGTTACTGTTTCTGGTGACGATGATTCATCACAAATTATGTGTGAAATATCCGAACAAATAACAGCATGATAAGAATGCGTACAAGCCATTATGGAAAGTATATTAGCACCAGTACCATTAAATACAAAATGAACACCTGGTAATGGATCATCGGGCGACGAATTAAATATTTCATGAATTAAAAGACGCGCTTCGTTCGTAACATTATCATGACCATAGGCACGTGCATGACGACCCGATTGAGCTTCTTCTGTTAATGCAGACATAATTTCGGGTAAAACTCCTGCATAATTATCCGACGCAAATGTTCGCATTGGATTTGCCATGTTTTCTTTTTATTTTAAATCAACTTTATGTTCTACTTGTATTTTAACTGATTCTATATCTTTATATGGTGAATAGGTGACTGTAGATAAACTTTGACGAAGTTGATAACTGATAGAAAAGAAGAAAGAAAAAAGAAAAAAGAAAAATAAAGAGTAGATGGATGTAACGAAGCACAAGTTGTTATACAACAGATTTTAATCAAATTTGATACCAAGATAAACTATCTACTATATGTCCGAGAATCTAAAACAAAATGAACTCATGACCTAGTCAAATATTTAGTCCTTTGTTGGTAGTGATGTGTATAAATAAAATTTTTAAAATAATTTCATTTGAATGTGTGACTCACTATAGTTTCTATGAACTCTAATGGCTAGTGGACGAAGTGAACGCAAATAAAAACATAGGCAAAGAGAAAGAATCGATTTAGTTATTTATTCGTATGTTTTCATTTTCTATACAACTGTAAAAAAAACGTACTACTATAATCTTTTTCTTTCGAAAATGGCTCATGACAAAGTATCGATAAGCAAACAAATACAATATTGTTATTCTTACCTTGTCTTATGTCAATAGTCAGCTACATATTTCGATAACGCCGGATCAATGCCAACCTGGTAAATTTGCTTATTGACTTACTCATAGCTATCGTCTAGGATCGATTACAAGTATTTTTTCCATGTTCTGAACTACGTTCTTGTCCAAATATCAAGTAAAAGCATCGTTGGAAGTTTGATAATTGATATCTGTTATAGTCATAATGAAAATATTTTTTTCATCTTGCTATCCTGACATAAAACATCGACGCATCTAATATGTTTTTGATGCTATCGATTAATAGGCGGAGCAAATCCCTATAAAAAAAGACTGACTTTACTTTATTTTTATGGTAAATAAAAAGAAATTTTATATTTTTCTTATTCAGATCAGACATCAAATATTGAGAAAAAAACAAATCATTTTTACAATTAAATCACAAATAAATTATTCTAATGCTAGATTTCAATGATTTTCGCACATAATCAGCTTGAAAACTAGCAACTTCTGTCGAAGATTGCTTATGTCTTGAAAATAGAAACTAGCAAATTGTAGCAAGAGGCACTCTTCTCCAATAAGATCTAATAACTAAATATTTCAGTCTTACTTCACGAAACTCATTATTTACAAACAGAATCTGCATGGCTCATAACAGTTAATGAATAGTGTTTAATGAAATTTAGTGATATTTGAGGATAATTGAATTAAAATTTAAGTAGATATTTGTGAAATGTCTGTTTATCGTGATGTTGATGGATGGCAATCAAGTCAGAAGCTTTATAGATAATTTTTGTTCTTTAAATAATATTTATAACCTTTTAGAACATTTATAATCAGATCTCAATAGATCCATACAAAACTAAAAGTATTTTGCTTCAAATAGATTTCTGAAGAACGTTTAAGCTAAATAAGAGATAGTATATTTGACTTGGAATAAAATTACGAATTCTTTCTTAAGTTGTCGTCTTATCGATACTTATTCCCTTCACATTTCTAATCCAAAGTGCATTATTCACTTTCAAATCTGCTATGGAAAGCATGACTCATTGGCCGTTGACAACTTTCGATACGTAAAACTACTAGTATTAAACGGTAAAATATTCTCTCGAATAATGACGGTACATGAATTTATGACTAAATGAGCTAAGCAGCGTGTACTACGAGGAACATGTAGTTGATATAATTGTTTCATATTCAAAAACATTCATATAGGATAATAGATTTCCCATGCGATTCCAGACTGAGCATTACAACAACCAGAAACAATTTTACAGGACCAAAAAAGCTAAAGTATAGTATCGTTTCTGACCGTGTGTCTTTCATCTGGGATCGTTCAAAACTAATTAATGACTCAAAACTGCAACGTATTCTATTGTGATATGTTCCGCAAAATCACGGGTCCTATCACGGCGACACTAAGGCATATATATACGATTAAATTCATTAGAAAAAAAAGCGATTTCATATGATGCCTTGCATAGGTGTGTCTGCGATTAAGAGCGAATATCGTGAATTTATGTGCTGCACGAAACACAATGACGTTGAAAAAAAGGAATAACTGTATCCATCAACTTGAACTAATATGTAATCTAAGATAAGTTCTGATTCATTATCATAAATGTCTCATTATTCATTTCCAGACTAAAAGATTCATCAAAACCATGCCATGACATGCTCGACTAAGTACAACACCAAAAAGAATGTGCTACGAATCTCGATATGTAATCCATTTCTTCTCTATATCGCTCATTTCAGTCTATAACAAAAAAAAGACACTCAAATGTACAGGTCGAACTAGTAGGTGGGCAATTCTTTTATCTAACAAAAACGAAGATAGCTGTGTTCAAAGAAAATCTCCCATCTCATTATTGTAGATTAATCTGGTAGATCAGCAGCACTAGACTGATCGGAGACTAATATCTGTTTCATCTATGATGCAAGCAGCACAGAGATGAGCAACTGCACTATGTGCCGCTCCAGCTTCATCATCTCGCGTTCCAACTTGGAGTTAGAGTCGCCTATCTCCGCAGCAGTAGTTCATTTGTACATTGACCTGACTTATGCCAATCTTGATGGACCTGACCGATGAAGCGACACGCTTTTGTATAGCCGATCAAATCTATCAGAAATTATGCGACGTTTCATTTATCAAAATCGATAGAGAATAGTAAACAAGATTGAAATCGAGCTCAACTCGATTGTTCATTCAGCTTATGTATTAATAGCGAATATGCTACGAGATATTATCAGATTTAAATATCTATTTAACAGACGTAGAACTACCTTCGAACGTTGTCAAAGCTACTGAAGAATGGAATTCGCGCGAGAACAATACAATATGACCTCAACAATACGGTCAACATGATTACAGCAATAGCCATTAAATAAAAATTATCTTTATTGTTAATAAAGATTCTAATAAAATAAAATGAGATATGTCAAAAAAATTTTGTGAAAACCTTGTTGTGATATATTGAACATAAATAATATCGATCTTAGACATGCACTCACTGATTACTTTTTTTTTATAAAAGTAGTTATGCAAGATCTTGTCCTACTTCAATAAAATAAACTCTTCTTAACTTTAAAATCGCTCCTTTTCGTTTCAAATATGTTTTGCAGAGTTTTCTAAAGTCAATTTGATTAAAATTCTGACTAATTATTTCTGAAAAGATTATATTGACTACGTATAGAATATAGGTTCAATATATTGCATAATTTTATGAAAACACGGTTGATAATACCCTGATAAAAACCATACATAAACGGTAGAGACATCTCTCATTATATATGCAGTTTCTATTTTGTCTTTTACTTGAATTCAAGATTCGTGTTCTATGCTCTATTGATGATTTCATTATTTATTGAAGACGAATACTGCCTTTAAACGAATTAATTTAATTCACTTTTTTTTATAGTGCACTTGAAATTCATTAGTTTTGTATCTGCAAGAGTCAACAACGCCCGATCATGACCAACTGACTAACCTAACCTAACCTTAATAATCTTTTTTGTTTCTGTTTAGTCATTAATTAACCAAAAGAAAAATTGAAATAATAGTGTCACTGTTTGACAGAAATATAAGAATTACTTTATAGGAGAAAGAAAGAGAAAACAGGTAAAAAAAAACATAATTAATCTATAAATATTGGTAGCATTGAAAGAAAAATGTTAAGTATCATGTGATACCATGGAGAGAATAAAGTAGTTTTTAACATATATTTGATACTTTTTGAAAATAAATGTACAATCAGGAGAAAATTTGGATTCTAAATAAGACGAACCAGCTGTATCTTTATATTGTAATAATGTAGAATCATTAAATGCTTTTAATAAATTATCTATTAGGCCATTAAAGTGTTCCTAAAGATCCATTTCAGACTATTTTACGTGATGAAAGTTTATTCAAATAATCTTCAATACAAATTTCTATTGCATCATTAACATAATCATTATCATTTGACGATATCCAATTAATTTCAAAACCATTTAGATTACCATCTACCTTATTAACGTAAAAATCTTGATGAGATGACCATAATGTATCGTTTGATGTTGATGATTGTGTATGTTTTATTTTCATGCGTTTAATTTCTTGTTCTTCTTGAATTCTTTTACGTTTAGTTTCTTGCTCTTCTTCAATTTTCTTATTTTCATGAATAGTTTTTTCTTCTCCTTCAATTTTTTTACATCCGAGCAAATATTTTAATTTGAATTCTGATTGAGGAATTATTCATGTTTGAGGTTGATTATTATCGTTACCATCCATCATATTCGTGTATTTGTTTTATAATCGATAAAAAAAGGGAATAAAACTTCGATGGTCATTGTTCAATCTCATCTTTTTTAATTTTTAAACATTTCATTTTAATAAAAAAGTTATTTTTTACATTTGATTTTTCGTTTTTCCAAGAAAATATTCTCTTGTTTATTATTCCTCTTCTCAAAATGAATGATCATAGGATGGACGGTTAGTATATATTAGCCGAAAAAACACAAAGAAATAAGTGAAACAAGAACAAATACATATGATTGGTAGATTGGTTTGTTGGAAAGGGCTACATATAAAATTGTTATCAGTAGATAGAAAAAATTATTCTTTATCGAACTGGATATTTAGTTTTAAAAAAAAAGTGTCTAGGCATATAATGGTCCGAGAAGTGCTTATTATTTTATATTGATTCGTTGGGACATTGAGCTAATCGTAGATATAAAAAAATGAATTTGTAAATTTCAATGTATCTATGTGTATTGTTTAACCTAACCTAATCTAATGATGTATTGCTATTATCATTGGTTAAGAGCTATATCAATAGGTATTGGTCTACATTAATGTTGATTTTCTTGGAAATAACTGTGAAATCAAAAAATCCGACTACGTGAGAAGAACTAACGCCTATCCAAAAACGTATGATCATTAGATGAGCGTTGAAAAAAAGTTTGAAAAAATTTAGCGCCATCAAGTGCATTAGTATGTTCGCTATTGAATAACAAATCGATGAGTCATCTCAATTTCCGAAGCGACTATATGTCATTTCATTATTTTCTGATTAAATTTCTATAATAATACCATTAATAATATTCTTGTAACTGAACTATATACGATTGATATGACACATTCGAATGACAATATCTAAGTTAGATTGGTAGCCATTAAATAAAATTTTCTCTTTTGGTATCGTATGACGATTGGTTTTTCAAAAACGTTGATGTCGTCTGCATCAAATATTCATAATAATCATAGTCGATCAACTGTGCGTGATTCATCATTTCATCCACAAAATCAATCCTTACTTGAAACTATATCACCTGAATCATCATCGCCAATAAGTATTACATCAAAACTTAGTAGACATCAGCGTTCATCAACAAATAAAAAAAAAAGTAAACATCATCGACAACGATCATCTGACAAAGATAGTGATAGTAATCATCAAAAATCTCGTCGAACAACATCAGCACATCGTTCATCGCCCAAAGATAACAATACCGATAGGTAAACATTGTTTTTGTTTTAAATTTCTAATATTCTATTCCTTGAATTCAATAGTCGAAATTCTCAACGTGTATCATCATCATCATCAAAGCATTCTCGACATGAATCAACTTCAAAACGACGTTATCATAATTCTGAACAACATCGTCATACATTTGATACATCATTTCCAATATCACAATCCCATGATAGTGATTTTGAAGCAATAAATAAAAAACGTAAACATCATGATGGAGATAATGATCGTCATAGTAATCATCATTCATCAAAAAAACATCGACGATCCAGTCCATCAACGATCTATTCTTCACATCGTCGTGATCGTTCAAAACATCGACGACGATCATCATCATCATCTTCAACACGTTCAAACGAAAATAATCATTATTCACCATCCAAAGAATATGAACATGGTCAACAGGGAAAATTAACAAAAGGAACACTCGGCTCAGAGCTTGATAAATTAAGACCAAAAACAAGGAAACAGAAAGTAGTATCACAAACCATAACAGCATCGAATGATCAAATACAAATAAATAATAATGATGTAGGTTATAAATTTCTGTATTGGATGACTAAAATTTTTAAATTAGTTTTATAGTTAAATTAATGCGTTTTCTCCGAAGTTGAATTTATCTTTTTAGTTAGTTCTGATACAAACGAGACTTTATCAAGTATTCGATTACTAGTTCCCTGGGAAAATCATTTGTATTATCGACTTACAATTTTCTTTTTAAATTGAGCATTATTACTAAGAAATTGCTGTTATAATAACTCAAAGCTCCACCTTTTCAATAAAATTTTCTTATTAAAGTTTTTTAGAAAAATTTACTAGATGTCTAATAGATTTTTGTTTTTGAGATAAGTTTCTAAAATAAACATAGAAACTATGAGAATAATTTATATTTATTTATCGTTTTTGTAGAAAAATGTTAAATCATCTGGCCAACTATTAACATCTAGTTCAAACTCCAGTCGTTTCGAGTAAATTGAAACGAAAAGAGCTATGCTTAACATTCTCTAATCTATTACATTTAAGTTCAAATGTACGGCGTCGACCAACATCATCGTCAAATTCTACCAATGTTTCACTCTCTGGTGGTCAAACAAATTTAACACGTTCATTGCCGATGCCACCCAATTATGAACAAGATTCTCCTTCATCGTCGAGTCCAAATAATATTTCGCCTAGTCATTCAGCATCAACAAATAAGCTTCATTCTTCTAATCAATCTGATAAACCAATGCGAAGACCTTTGTAAGCTCAAGAAATTTTAATTTCTCACTTTGTGAAACACTATTTTAAAGAAATATAAATAATGTATCAGCAACTACATGCTATTTTTGTCTTCTTCTTTTTAAGGATTCTTCAACGTCGTGATGATATGCGTAAAAATCAATGGGATGATCGTAACGTTGACATGTATGAAATCTTAACTAAAATTGGTGAAGGTACATATGGTGAAGTTTTTAAAGCACGAGATAAACAAACCGGTATGCATATATATATATACATATATGAATTAATCAAAATTTAGTTTCATTGACTGATTTTCTTTAGGTGACCTTTGCGCATTGAAAAAAGTTCGATTAGAAAATGAAAAAGAAGGTTTTCCAATAACAGCTGTTCGTGAAATTCAAATTCTTCGTCAATTAACTCATGAGAACATTGTTAATTTAAAAGAAATCGTTATGGATGCACGTTCAATATCAGATATACGAAATGATACATCATTTTATTTAGTTTTTGAATATTGTGATCATGATTTATTTGGTCTATTAGATTCTGGTTTAATTCAACTTGATTTAGATCATATTGCTTCCTTGATGTTTCAAATTATGTCTGGCTTAGCTTATTGCCATAATCGAAAATTTTTACATCGCGATATAAAATGTTCAAATATTTTACTAAATAATCATGGAAACATAAAATTAGCTGATTTTGGTCTTGCACGATTATACAATGCTGAAGATAAAGATCGACCATACACGAATAGAGTTATTACATTATGGTATAGGCCACCGGAATTATTACTTGGCGAAGAAAGATATGGACCAGCGATTGATATTTGGAGTTGTGGGTAAATTATTTCATTTGTTTTTGCTTTTTTCTTACTGCTTTTCATTGAAAACAACAACTTTTCATCATTTGTTTTGTATAGATGTATTTTAGGTGAATTATTTCAACGTCGACCTTTATTTCAAGCACAACGTGAAGATGATCAATTAGAAATTATTTCACGTTTATGTGGTTCACCTACACCAGCTGTATGGCCAGATGTCATAAATTTACCTTTATTTGCAACATTGAAACAACGAAAAACTTATAGAAGAAGATTACGTGAAGAATTTCAATAGTATGAGTCATTTTGAACGCCATTTCATTTAACAAATCTATATGACTATTTTAGTCTTGCTGAACCTGCTTTGGACTTACTAGATCGTATGCTCGAATTAGATCCATCAAAACGAATAAGTGCAGATGATGCACTTCAATCATCGTGGCTTAAATGTATTGGCGATGGTACAATGAAAGCTCCTCCGTAAGTGAATTTCACATTATAAACTATCATCATTGTATTATACACCATTATGTATCTAGTTTACCAACTACACAAGATTGTCATGAAATGTGGAGTAAAGAACATAAACGATTATCGCGTCGTGGTTGGAATGAAAATGAAATTCAAGCACATTTTAAGGAACGTGAAATTATCGAATATCAACGATATAATCAATCTAATGGTACTTAAATTAGTGAAATCGTATCTTTTATTTGATTTGGTTTGTTTATATTTAGACATGCAGATGGATAGTCCTGATCTAACAACTATTTTTACTGAAAGGTAGATTACTATTATTATGCATAAAAGTCATGTCAAAGAACTTACGCCATTATTCAAGCGCTTCTTTTCCGTTACTTGAGGTTTTTTTTGCCATTAGTTGTCTTGTTTTTGTTTAATTGAAAAATATCAATAAACTATTTTTTATTTCAATTCTTTTTTAGTCCAAAACAATACAAGGATAATATTGTTTCATATCAACAATCGAATGAAATGCCAGGTTCAATAACATCAACAAGAAATGATACTAATAATAATGCTCATAAATTAAATACCAATTAAACTGTTGATATTGTTCACCGATTATTTTCATTGTTATTTTTATTAAAAAAGTCAAAAAATTATTTGGTATCAAATCGACGATGCCATAATCGTTTGTTTCTCAATTAGAATTCAAAAGAAAGAAAAACGAAATTGTGTACGTGAAAGTGTATTTGTGTATACGTCTATAACTATGTTTCTTTTTTGTCTATTCTTCTTTTTTTTTGTGTTTTTCCTTTTCTTTCAAAGTAACTTCCAACATTGAACGTAATTAGTTCATTACACACACGACTGAATTAGGATATGGTTTGTCATAAAGAACAGCTGTTTTATTTTCTTTCCAGAAATGAATAAGAGAGAAAATATTCGATGAAGATGGACCATAAGCAGAAATTTTCATTGCTTGAATGAACATTTTATGATTTTTGAAGCGATTCATTTTGAAATCAGAAAACATTAAAGTTTCACATTTCAAAAACTAATTAAAATTTTTGCTTTCATTTTCAAAAACCTTCCATGTATCATTGCTAACAAACTGACTACTACATAAACTCTATAACATACTAAAATGTGTCGTGAGTGCAATGATCAATTACGCATATATTGGATGACTACAAAGACATATTGAATCGAGCTTATTGATGACAACAAATCTATCACATAAGCAGATAATCATCACAAAAATAAGCACATTTCACTCAAATTTGCTTACAGGAACTATAGAGAACTTCTTTTTCGTTGTTTCTTACACATCTTAAGTGACATCTATTGAAATGTTCTCGAAAAACGAAAATCTCCACTATACACATATATATATATCATTTTTTTTTGTCTCTAGGCTCAACTACAATGATTCACTCTGATCTAACTTGAACGGTCCAGGAGTAGATATTTGTATTCAAAATTTGATCGAAACCATTTCATGATTGATTTTTTTTCAAAAAGTATTCAGATACTTAGTTCTGTGTACATGTCCAATAGTTTTGTTTGTTTGTCTGTATATTCTTGTCGAAAAAAAAACGAATGAACGAATTGTGCGAAACTAGTGCAGTCGCAAACAGAAAAAATACACACAACCGGCACACAAGAAGAAATATACAACAATAACAACATCAAGAAATAAGAACAACAATAAATTTTCAATGTGTGAATGTACGAAAGAAAACAACAACAAAAAAGAAACATCTTCCTTGGCAGTTATTCCAATCAGAACCACAAAAAAAGAAGGAAACAAATAGCATATATCTGAATGATCTATATTTCTATTCCTGTTCATCATCATCATCTTCATCATCGTCCTCGTCAGCACTTCCATTAGCATCTGATGCACCAGCTGCGGCTCTTCGAGGATTTGATTTACCAGCAGAAGCTTTGGAGTCACCTTAAACATTACATTCAATTAGAGTTAAATTTATTCATTTTTTCTACAATCTTTTTACCTTCATCGTCTTCGCCGTTTTCTCCAGTGTCATCTTCCTCAAAATCTTCATCAGAACCATCTTCTTCATCATAGTCATCAGCATCTTGGTCGTCACCGGCTACCTAGAAAAGCAAGCGAAGAAAATTATAGTTTGTACTATCAAAGTTTCCTTGTTCTGCTTTTAATTAAATCTATCACCCTACATCGTCATCATCATCATCGTCGTCGTCGTCATGTAAATTAACATCACCATTTTTATGGTTAGATGATTCTTCATCGACTATTGGTCCATCACCATTAGTACCATTACGTGCAGCTTTTAAGGATTTTAATTTTGTTGGACTTACATCATCCAATTCAGCTTCGCGCTTTGTTCCTAATAAACAACGATCTCAGATAATTTAATCAGTATTTAAAAGGTTGTTTTTATCTACCTTTGGTAGGAGTAACAGTAGGTGAAGACAAGGCATCAGTTGAATCGGCCATTGATCAAGTTTAGTTATTTAATAGAGGCAAATAATAGTGTAAGTGTACGAGGATAAATGTAAGAATCAAGTAGACATAGACCCAACACAAATAGAGAAAGAGAGAAAATATGACAAGCAGCTATTTCTTCTCTTTTCTTTTCTTGCAGCGATTGCCGAATGTGTATATCTGCGTGTACGGCGTCGTCTATCCTCGTTTAGCTCGTTTCTTTTATATGAAGCTATGTGCGTGTCGTTTCGCTGTTGTTGCCGCCATTCTTTGGCACATAGTCATGTAGCATAATGAGAGAGAAAAAGAAAAATCATTGTATTCGTTCTTCTGCTTTTCCACCAATCCACAATTCTTCTGCTAGTCGACAATAATGACATTGCACGGGCAAACTATGACAAAGAATAGTTTTCTTTCTATATAGTCGAGAGAAAACGTCGGCTAAGGTGACGGGCATAGTATAAATTGAATAGCTGCAGCGCAAGCGAACAAATTTTATGTGCTGTTGTCTTAAGCTAGAGAACAAGAGAAGAGAGATATTTGGATAGCAGCCATATTTGTTCACACGAAAACAGAAAGAGTGAACAAATGAAGAAGAAAAAAAGAACATTCCTTGGCCAATGTTTGTTATTAACGGAAACATTGGATGGCTCGATGTTTGCACACCGTTCAAGTTATATTGGATAGACCATTGAATTTGCTGAAGTTTTTTATTTAGCTTTAGTACGTTATATGAAAGCGGCTTTGTTTTATACTTGCAGAACTTTGAAAGCAGACGAAAAGATATCATTAATTATTATTATTATTATTCGTGAATTCAAGAAAAAGATCAAATAAACATGGACAGATAGGCCATGCCGATTTCACACTAGGGTTTATCAGATATAGAAGTGCTTTAGAAGTTTTAGTGAAATTTTATTATCTTTTTTTTATTACTTCAAATTACGAAGATGAATTATCTTTTTTTTGCTATGAAGAATATTGAATATATGAATTGAAAAAATGCTTATCTAATCGATGATACTATTTGTGTTCGTGCTCGACCTTCCTTTTTCACATTTGATTTTGTCTGAATTTGTTAATATACAGTGGTAAAAAAGTTAAATAACAAAATACTAGGGTTGTGTTCCGTTTTTATGGTATGCTTGTCTTTCAATATATTTTAATCCTTAAAGTGATATTAGAATATTACTTATTAACAAGGATTATCAAATATGATTCTGATAGTTTTTATGTCCAAAACAGAGTCAAAGATGAGAATGATGTATGAGAGAAAACAAAATGAAAGATTGACGAAAACTTGTTCAATGGCGTTTGCATTCATATTTGTATGCATCTTTAGCCAATGGAGTATTAGATGACAAAATCATACATGCAAATTTCCATCTGATTCAATTGGCAATTACAATTATGATTTACAAGTCTACAAGTGCATAGAAAAGCGATTTGTTATGGGTATATATTATTCTATACGAAGAATTCGTTCAATTATTTGTTTATTTTCTTATGAGATATTTATTGAGATGAAGAAGAAAAAAAAACCTAAATTGTTTATAGATAGATACTTATTGAATTCGATTGGCATCCAGGTGTGATATTCTCATTGCATTTTTTAAACAAATTGTATAATCGGCTTTTTGTTTTTATAATACTGTTATTGACACAACATTGTTAGAAACATTTGTTATATCTTTTGTGAAGATACATTTAATGATTTTTATTGTATAATTGTTAGAAGAGATGAGATATTCAATAGAAGAACATAAGTATTACCTCCGGGATACAAATAAAAGATCAATAGAAAAGATCATGCTAGGATTAAAATAAATTCATGATGATATTTTAACGACACAGAAAAGAAAACATTAAGAAAGAAGTAATTCATCTTATTGCATATCCAAATTTATAGTTGTGCCAATATCAGTCAGAATACTTTTGATGATTTATTAATTTATAAATATAATGATGTTAGACAATTACTCAAGATCTTGCCATGTATTTTCTTGTACTCGATGTTAGTTAGTTCTAAATTTCAAATTATTTTATTTTAAAATATAAACAGGAAAGTAGATTTTTTTTCTCTAATTATTTCATAATAAATATTCAGTCGTTATACGTATGTATTTTATTTGGCTGGTGGACGTCGAAGAGCACCCACTAATTCTGATATTGAATTGTTACTTAACTGAATAGGACTATTAGTATTTTTTATTATTGATGATGTTGCTGGATTTGGATTTGGATTTGGATTCGGTTTTGGTGGTATCTTTCCTGGAATAGCAAGAGTTGTGAAAAGATTACTGAAAAGTGATGTTAATAATAATGGTCCTTGATTTTCTAAAACGTTAACAATTTTTTTTCCAACTTCTGGATTAAACATTTCTTTAAGACCAGTTGACATAATTTGACCAACGATAGCACCTATACGATCTAACGGAAGAATTGAAAGAACTGTTGCAGCTGTATCAAGACTTGATATTGATTCTTCTGATTGGCGACGAATACGACGATAATAATGACCTTGCTGAAGAAGTCGACTATTTGCTTTTAGCTGAGTTATTTTCATTTCATTTTCGCTAGAATCTAAATTTAAAACATAAAGAAACATAAGAGAAGTTTTTAGGATAAACTCTTTTTACCTGTATTATCATGTATTGCTTGACAATGTTCAACAGTGATACTTAGAAGAATTGTTACGAAAATGAATAAAATCATTTTTGTCATTATCAATCTCTTCGATTAAAATGAAGACAAAAAGTATTTTTGTTGTTGCTCTTATACAGATGTGAGTCTTATGCGTACATCCTCTTCATCAACAAATATGTACGATGCGCAAGCTGAAAGTAATAATGTAATTATTCGAATAATAAAAGTAACTTGTATTTTTAATCATTATATGTTGATCCAGCAGAAGTAAATATGTTTACATCAGTCAAATATAGATCAGATGATCCTTCATCATTTGATCCTTAAATACATTCATCGACTTTGTCATTAAAATATTGCAAAATAGATTTATTGTATACGTAGGAGGATCATATTTAACTGATTATCGTGAATAAACATTTATTTTTAAATTGAGAATGCAGAAGAAAAAACGTAAATATATCTTTGATTTTGGTCAAAGTTTTTAATTTACATTGAATATTTCGAAATAAAACTTGAATCTACTAACTAGTCTTCATAAATGCTCCGACATAACTACGGTTGGATGGGTGATCTGCTTGGACAAATCGTGTAAAAGGTTTCAGTTATATATATATATCTTTTTGAATATTAAAGAACCAACCATCAACATACAATGTTAAAGTTCTAATGAAGAATAAAGAAAAGTTCGAGATCTTAGCTTATTTCTACAGGGATCCGATAGTTTTGAAAATTACTTCTATAGAGCTTTTGAGAAATACTAAGATAATTGATTTGTCGAATATTGATTTGAAATTTTGCAGAGACAAGCCTCTAGAGGAAAAATAAAAAATATTGTCATTATTCCAATCGTAATAGCACAGTTATAATAAAGCAGTATCATTTTAACTGTTAAAAAGAAAAACTCGATTGAAGACGATTATTTCAAGCTAAGAATCAATCGAAAGAAAAGACGCGAAAAATTCATCCGTGCATAAACAATCATATCGTGTCTGCACAAAGCAATTGGTATGTTTGATTCTTTTTTCGGAAAAAGAATCTACATTCATTTAGTATAAACTTGATATCGTTTATCAACTGATTTTTCATAATGCTATCTTTTGGAAATTTTCTATCTTTATTATCTGATAATCCAAATACATTGATTTTAAAATAATTTCCAACGGATAATATAAATAAAAACTCAAAGAATATAAAAAACAGCAATTAGAAATAGAAATCTAATGAATTTTAAGTTTTCGAAGAATGCCAATTGCTGTATGTAGATTTTCATTTGTCTTAGTCGGAAAGAATCGAATGTGATACTCTTCTAAATATCGATGCTTTGCTGTATATTTATTAAATATCGAACATTGAAAATTCTCTTATGGCTTTCCTCAGGGTTAAACTGACCATTGTGTACATTTTTAAAACAAGTAACGTTCGTCGCTTAGACTCGCTTGATCCTCGACTGTATGTTGTGCTCTTCCGATATAATTTACTGCATTCCAAGCTTCAACAGCACTGCTCACCAGTATTTGAAAAAGAATGAATATGATTTTAGACCCTGACATAAAAATTTATGCTAGATTACTGCATCGTATACACATTTTCACTCTTCTTTCTGTCCGGAATTCATCTGATAACACTGTGACTTAAGAACCAACAGGTCGCTAAAGTTGGTACAATGTATACAATATCATGCTAATACTAATCGTATAGCGTATACAAGCAGGGCTACCAATTGCATAAACAAAGGAATAGTAATCTTATGCGGCTTAAATCCCCCACCTACGGAGAATGACACCACTTAAGATGTTTTGATCAGCCTGAAATTTTCAGACAAGCGTGGACGCTAGTGGCGTCGCTAGGATGGGACCAGATCAGGCTGAGTCCCATCACCGGCTTTGGAGCCTCGCAATCCTTATTCCAATTTATCGATTGAATTCTTGAATTAAAGAAATAAATATGATTTAGAGCACTGAAGTCTGAATTTTGAATCGAAAAGAGTGTAAATATTTTCTCCATTGATAGTAATAGGGAATCATCTGTTAATTTATGTAACTATTAGATATTGAAAGCACTAATCATCATTTTATTTTATTCATTATGACTCACAAGTGCTGAGAGAAGCTAGCGATAAGTTGTAATATTTTACAAACAGATAAATTAAAAATATGCAACCTAGTAAGTCAATATCAAGAACTATATTATGTCTTTCTTTTCACCATCTTCACCAAAAAAACAAAGATTATTTAATCAAGAGTTACACCACTCGTCCACATCTACGGAAACATCAACAGAACTTGTTTTGTCTGAAGAAACAAATTTGCATCGACTTGATGCAAGTACCAATCTACATAATAGTGCAACTGCTACACATAATAAATCTATTTCAAGAAATTTGATGACTGATGCTCGTTTGAGCGATATTTGTTTATTGGCTATTGAACGTGATCTCGATATCCATTTTGAACAGCTTATTGATACTTTTTCAGATATTCATAAAAATAGTCGCATTATACTCAAATAAATATTCTTTGCTTTTTTTATTTCAAATTTTCTCTTCTCAAACATAAACTATAGGCATCTTCGTATATAAGATACAAATATGTCACATATGATACGCCCATTTAATTTTAGTGCAGTGGAAGTTTAAATTTTAAATTTTAAACTTTAAAATTTAGAAATAAGATTTGAAAGTTTGTTATGATGATTAGTGCCTGGAGCCAGTCAACGAGTACGTTCAAAGGAGAGATAGGACTGAGCCTCATCACCGTTAAATTTCTGGTGACGCTACTAGTGGACGCATTAAGGGACACCCACAGTACAACTTTCACCGTGATTTATCAAAGTAGACATGATCTACAGTTAATACATAGTTGGATTCTACTATTTCAGAAAATCATTGTAACTTCGTCATCAGAGAAGATGTATGTGACGAGCTTAGAGAGTGTCGCCTATGCCCGTCGGCATGATGGTGTATTGTGTCATTTGCACATCTCTAGTCGTCCATTTCCTTTAGTTACATTCCCTTATATACGCGAGAGTGATCACGTTTAAGCGGATATAGACAAAAAGGGAACAATCACACAATAGAACAATGTGAGTTCATCAGGTCAATGCACTAACATAGGATACAGCGAAGAGGATAAAGTACATAAAGTGAGCCGTAACGGTAAATACCGTTACAATGTAGAACCCACGACCGCTTAAAAATGCAGTTAGCAATATCGCCAAAGTTTTTATCAAACAGAGTTTTGAACTCCGTTCCTGTTCAATATTTATTGCCATTTGACTGTGCATCACAAGAGAAAGGACGTATAACTTGCCACTTTGCAACGTCGCATCCAGCTTTTTTCAACTTAGGAATGAATCATAGAAAATCTGTTTGATGAATAGTTAGCGATAATTCAAAAACTTTAAAGCAAAATAAAATAAGTCGTATCGAGCCTGTGGAGAAAGATTTCAATTTTCCTGATGGAAACTCCTATTTGAGCAAGCTGCGAAATAAGTAAATGATGAATGTACAAATCAGATAATAGTATGAAGGCACTCCCCATGTCGCACAAACCGATCGAAAACCGTCGGTTAACCGGGGTCAATTTTTATAAAAATCGGTTAACCGCGGTTATTTAAGCCATTTTAGCACCTTTACAGCGTAAAAACCAACGGTTAACCGCGGTTAACCTCCCAGAGTTAACCGGAAAAATAACCGGACAGCTAGCGACATAACCGATGACTTGTCCGGTTAACTGGGAGGTTAACCGCGGTTAACCGTTGGTTTTTACGCTGTAAAGGCGCTAAAATGGCTTAAATAACCGCGGCTAACCGATTTTTATAAAAATTGACCCCGGTTAACCGACGGTTTTCGATCGGTTTGTGCGACATGGGTCTCTCTCTCAAGACTGCAAAAAGTTACATATTCTTGAAAATAATGACTCTCCTAAGTGTTTCAAGAACGTTAAGTCTTACATTGAGTCGATGAAATTGAAAACAACCAGTATATGATTCCTATTGAATGCAACCCCCCGATCAGCGACCTCTAAGAGTAATTTATCCTTGAGTTCAGTTTAACACTCGAATTTGATGATATTTTGAGCAATTTTGAAACCACTTATATCTAGACAGTGGAGGTATATTTATGCATGTTCCCAGGCCGAACAATCCGACTGTAGGCACCTATCGGAACCCATCCGATCCGACTGGAATCCAATAGAATTGTATCGGATTGTAGGATATTTCCAGGCTCCTACTATCGGATCCGATGTCGAATCAGTTGACCTGGGTCTACTGCTTCTGACCGCGTTCTCTCCATTAGTAAAGCAGGAGCTCTGCCTAACCCGCCATACAATACAGTACTCATATTTCACAATTTCCAGCCCGCTGCAGTTTTGTTAAACTCAGAAAAACAATCGATTCTTCAGGTACGAACTCTTTAATTGAAACTGGAAATTACTTATTCATTAAGTCTATTTCTAACAAAGAGTGCTCCGTGACCATTTCTGAGAACCTGCATTGAAGCAAAATCGCCACTCTCAACATCAAGTATCATCATACAGAAAACCAACTCTCATTTCAATACCGAACACTTCCCAGATGAAATAGATCTGAAATATTCTCATTAGAAACTACTCAATCATCGGCGTATCTTAAAATGATGCTAAGCGCACGCTTTACCCCTGAACACAATTCAGTTGATTGCTGAATGACTCTTCAAAATCTCTAAGACACTGTTTTTCCAGGAAAATCAAAGACAAAACTCCCATAGCCAAAATAAAGTACGACTTTCTGAGACCTCGATTATCTATGGTCAAACTGAATACAATCTAAATATCTTCCAAAACATACCCCGTCCTAGAAAATTCGTTTCGATATTTTTAAAAGCTGACTTCAGATTCGGATTCCCCGACCCCGATAACCTTTAGGAAAGTTTGATGAAAAGATGGTGAAGTTTAAAACGAAGGAAAGCTCGTATGATGTTTTTTGACCAGCCACAAACAGACAGACAGACAGACACACAAACGCATTTTGTTTTCATATGATTCTACCTACAGTTGAGGAAACAAATTAAATTCAGAAATATTAGC